TATTCCTGGGTTTGCCAGTGTATGTCGAGCACGATGGCTGGCGTCTCTTGCAAACATCAACATGCCATCCATATCCAGAACCGTAAGCTGATAAACAAACAAATACAAACTTTTACAGCGCGTCTATCAACACTTGATGACTATGACGTCCTTGACGTCTACGTCCCACTACCGCTGTGAGGCTAATCTAAAAAGTCCAATAAGAATTATAGGCCCACCGATAACGAAGAGCATTCCGCTGAATTTGACCGGGCCGAGCAAATTGTCGTCAAGGACCCCCTCGAAGAGCAACACCGTCAAGTTGTTACGGAATGCGAGAATGTAACGCCAAGACCATATCTAAAAGATTTTTTACAGACCCTGACTGCTTTGCAGTTTGTCATCCGCTCCTCAGGCAACACCGACAAGATCCAGGCTCTAAACGACTATCTGTCAAATCAGATGAAAGAATTCCTAGCTGAAGAGAAGCACGAAAAGCTGGCAAAAATCACCAAGCCGAAAAATACCCCAATCAGAGAAGCTGCTGAAAATTATAGACTCGAAAGTAAAAAGGCACGAAATGCATTTCTGGCGCAGGAACGGGCCAAGAAGAAAGCATCCGAGGTGAATCCCGTTGAAAATGGTTGAAAAATTTGTTATTGTTCGTTTCTATAAAATATTTGTTATTTTTGTTGTTCCGTTTCGATAAATATTTCATTTGTAAACATTCCTTTGAGTCTTACGAAAAGAAAACCCTGAATTACGACATGGAATTCGGTTTTTGAACGGTTGCTTGCTATTGCGCGACCTGTGCCACATCCGCCGTTGTGGAAATTCGCGCTAGTATTCCCGGGGGGAAAGAATTCGCGGGGGGAAACTGAACTTTTTTCGGCCCAAGCCTAGATTTTTTTTATATAAATGGTGTAATTGTTTCTAAACTGTTTATAGCTATTCCTAAGCATAAAACTTTACAAAATTTAATAAAAAAATTAATTTTAAGTCGAAAAATTAATTTTTTTTCGACCAAAAAAGACCAAATTTTCGACTTTTTCAAGCGTTTTTCTAAAATTTTTAAAAAGTTTTTCCTATTTAAATAGGCTTACATTTTGCTAAAAACAATGTGAAAACACTTTATGGGGGAAATATGCTGAATAGATACGCGTTTTCGCAAAATGGATAAAGGAAAATTTGAGATGTGGGCAAAAAAAGTTCCCCCCGCGAATTCTTTCCCCCCCGGGAATACGCAAGAACCATTCCATCAAATCTTTTTAAAAATTCGAAATTTAATCAAAACAATGGTACACATAGGATAACGGGGGGGGCACTCATTATTATGAAATTTGCAATTACTGTGGGATTTTGCGAGTGCCATTCGATAGAGCGTCGAAAAATATACTAAGAGATTTTTTACAACGCGAAAAAAATGTATTATAAAAGTTTTATAGCCTAAAAACTATTTTTGAAAACTATGGGCAGCACATAGGATAACAGGGGGGGATTTTTCGGCGTTTTGAATATTTTCGATATTTTGAAAATGCCATTCGATAGAGGACCGAAAAATATACTTAGAGCTTTTTTTACAGCCCGAAAAAAGCATATTTAAAAATACTTTTATCCTATAAAAAGTCTGAGTGCCCCGCCCCGTTATCCCCCCCCCGTTATCCTATGTGTACTATGTGAGTGCAAAAACGATCTAAAAATTCCATCAAATCTTTTTAAAATTCGAAATTTTATCAAAAGGATCTTTTCCTATTTTTTTACAAAGAAAATGTTCAAATTGTGACGCTTATGAATAGAAAAACGGCTCAGAAACAGATCCTAAATGTTTGGCAAAATTTAGATCCAGAAAAAACTTGTGTCCCCCCCCCGTTAATGCCAAAGAACCCAGTTTTACCCATTAAATTCAGGAAACGCAAAAATACCTGAACAGTCTTATCGGCAGATAGAGAGATGAGAGAGGCACGACAGGCAGCTGATGGGCCGGGGAGGATCGGCTGGGCAGAGGGAGGAGCACCATCTCAAAAAAAAAAACAGAAAATTAGCTCAAAACCAGGGCTGGTACTATTTGGCGATTTATGACCCCAAATTTATAGGGGGTACCAGGGTTGAAAAGCCGCTTCGCGACTTTTCAACCCTGGCCCCGTCCCAAAACCATGAAATTCAACACTTTGCATAATTCGCCCGAATCGCGATCAGAAATAATGAACGAAGGCTGCCTCTCTCACGTTATATAGCCTTCCGCCACTTCCGGCGCATGCTAATCGTTTCCTAACAAAGAGGGGTGACCAATTTTTCAAGAAAAACTGAATTTTAATGTCGAAAACAGTATATTTTCAAAACTTGATGTGTGTGCAGTCATCCCCAGACCATTACACATCTAATGACGTATCATATATACCTTTAAGTCCTCCCCCTAATCCGATACTACTGGAACACGCTGACGGAAGTTGCATGCAAATGCACACACACACACACAGGAACTATTTTTTATATATAGTAGGATAAATGAAATTTATGGGGGGGTCATAAATTATTTTATACCCCTATAAATGATGTTTTTATTGAGTGAAAAAGGCATTTAACGAGAGTGGCGCTTATTCAAATCAAATCGGCTTCAAATTGATTTGATTTGAATTAGCAAACTTGAGTGCGAAAAAATCAACTTCAAATCGATTTGATTTGAATTAGGGGCTGGCCAACTCAAATTAAATCGATTTGATTTTGGATTTGAACAAAAGGCTTATCAGGGATACAAATTGAAAATCGGCGGTTCGGAGAGCTTTTGGTAGCGCCGTTTCAGCACATTTAGGTGTCCCTTACAATAATTCATGGGGCGTTTTGATGATCCTACCTTATATAATTTTGGCGTGTAACTGTGTGTGTGTGTGTGTGTGTGGATGTCACTTTCAAGGCCCGATTTGAGGGCCTTCCCGTGCATAAAATGCTCTAATTCTCCGTCACTTGGGGAAATCGACCCTTCTGTTCAGTGTGCTAAGGGTTTGGCCGTGGGGCGGCCGGCGCTGGTCCGAAAAATGGCCCTAGGCGCTGGTCCTAGGGTTAGTTAAATCGCGATTTTTCGGCGCCTACGGCGCCATGATGGCAAAAAAAATATAGTATTATCGATATATGTTATCTGCGAGGGAAGGGGTTCTGAATAACTATTTCTAAAAAATTCCACCATTTAAATCATAGTAACGATACGACACCACGAAAAATCAAGCACGAAAATTTCGGTAGAAGTCGGCAAAGGAGTAAAGTATGATCGGTCATGGTGGGTTTGGATGTGACAACGCTCGTTACGGGTGAACGGCTTGGACCAAGCTGGCAATTAGATGAGCATTACACATTTCCCCGATCAAGGTTTGGGCAAAATTTGGTCAAGATCGGCCAGTGGAATGCGGAGAAATAATTTTTTATCGGCCCCCCATCCCGGCGCACGCTGGTGAATCCCTTGAAACTGCTCTAACTACCCCGTCCTTGGCGCTAGCGGTTTGAAATTTGTTGTCAGGCTAGGTCTAGGTTCTACCCAACTACTGCCAAAAAAGTAAAAGCATGCCTCGAGTTTAAAACCCTTTCTCCGGACCAGCGCCGCTTCACCTCCGGAATCAGCTCATTTGGCCGCGCCCCCACTTCTGGTCCCCGTTGGGCCCCGAAAGGGCAATCAATCACCACCAAACTTGCTTGCCGAATAGCCTCTGGTACTGGCTATCATCTGACAAAACCATTTTAGCCCATACTTGCTTCCGCCTGTAGCTATGGACCAGCGACTGGTCGCCTTAATTGGCCGTGGGATCGGTAGATGTTCCGTTTTTTCCTTTTCACGCCCTCCTTCTCAATTTTCCCACTTAGAACTTCTAGTCGGCTGAAGGCCCGGCCTTTCCTCTTTCTAACTACGTATCAACCGTTCTGATCCATTACGTTATCGCTGAGTTATGGACCGGCGCTTAATTGGACGCGGCGGTTTTTGCCGTTTTATATGGGAAAAATCCATTCAATTGCATGCTACCCTCTACTCCACTGGCCGATCCATCCCAATTTTTTCCCTAAACGAGTTCCCAGTTTTCTCTTCCCCTCATCCAAGTTTCAGCTTCATCCGACTTTTTTGAAGGGCTTTTTCGGGACCAGCGCCGTCTCTTCTGGGGCCGTCGTGGCATTGCAAACTTTCCTGTGTCGATTTCTGCCCAAATTTTCATGCGCAATTTTTCGTACTGTGAAAGAAAGAAGAAAGAACTGTAAGCAGCGCAACAACATTAAATTACAGAAAATCCAGGAAGCCGACATTTATTTTCGCTATTTTTTTGGATATTGACCCAAAAAGCCACAAAAACCCTTGCCGCTAACGCGGCGCTGGTCCTAACCCCTGTCAGCCAACCCCCGGCGCTGGTCCATTTGGCCACCTGAAAATTCTTTTGCACACTGCCCCGCACCCCCGTGCGCGGAAAAAAACCCCGTGCTCAAACTTCGAAGTCACAAATCACTTATTTTTAGGCCTTTCCGCCCACTTATTTTTGCTGATTAATACGTTTCAGACCTTGCTGCTTCTATTCGTGCAGAAAAAGGAACATTTTGGGCGAGTACCGTAAAGTAGTCACCCCCGTATACTACTTTACGGTACCCGATCTCAAAACTAAAATGAGGTTTTCTCCCCTAAAAAGTGCCTTCCGCCACCTAATTTTTGTCGCTGAGTCCGTTTCTGACCTTTATTTAGCGATTTGAACACAAAAAACCGCATTTTGGGAGAGTACCGTAAACTTGAATCAAGCCGTAACTATAGTACACTATACTATAGTTAAATCTACTAAAAACGATATTAAAACGTTTCGAAAATACGGTACAGGTTTTTACAGACTAATACGTACCCCTCGGTAATGCACAAGTACCCCCCGATTGCTACCTCTTTCGGCATTTCCTTGATGACAACGGGTCGACAGGCGGCTCTTTCCCTATTATACGCCCACAGCACCACATAGCAATTCGATTTGGAGCTCCTGAAAAAGGAGGTAAAGAGCTTTTAAGAATCAATACCGTTGAATTTGATTGTAGGCGACGACAAAGACGTGTCTCCCTTCACCATACGGGGTGAAACGCACGAAGCGAACCTACAAAAATAATTCATACATTTTTTTTACACCACAAAACGATACCTTGTACTTTTTCTCCCATTTCGGGGCGGGCATCGGCAGATCGAGAAGCTTCTTTCCGCTATTCACATCCCATAATATCGCCTCAAAATCAATAAATATTCCAAAAATAGGATTAAGATACCTTTCCCTCGGCAACAGATGCAATAATCGATCCATCATTCGAGAATTCGAGATCATCCACTTCTGATTGATTGACGGCAATATCCAGGATTGGATGGTGCGTCAGTGCTGGGTCCTAAAGAGAAATGGTTCTTTTGCATTATCGAGGGGGGGGGCTTTTTTTCTGTTGGTCAAAAATGCCTTGTAACGGAATTACTGTCATTTTTCCTAAAAATCATTTTTCCTAAATTCATTTTTCCTAAATTCATTTTTCCTAAAAATCATTTTTCCTAAAAGTCATTTTTCCTAAAAATCATTTTTCCTAAATTTCATTTTTCCTAAAACCGGTTAAATATCGAAAAAGTCTCGGTTCTTTAGTATGATGCATCCAAAAATCGAAATTTTTTATAATAGATTTAGATATGCCTAGAATGGTCATGGGAAGTATTTTAGTTGCGCGTTTAGCCTAGATTTGGGTGATTTGAAGTGAAAAAGGATCAATGATAATAAGAAAGATTTTCCATAAAAGCCTACTAATAACCAAACCAAACAAATACTGCTAAAAAATGACAACATTTGGTCTTTCTTGATATTTTTACGCATCTCTATTGAATGAAAAATTTTAGGAAAAATGAACTTTAGGAAAAATGATTTTTAGGAAAAATAACTTTTAGGAAAAATGATTTTTAGGAAAAATGATTTTTAGGAAAAATGAATTTAGGAAAAATGAATTTAGGTAAAATGATTTTTAGGAAAAATGAACATAACCCCTTGTAACGTAATAGCAAGTATTTCAATAGTGTTTTTACTAAAATTTAGCTATATTTAAGTGGGAAAACACTTTTAAAAACATAGGAAAAATTTAGCTGAAATTTTAATCGAAAATCGATATTTTTGTATTTTTAATGCAAAATTTGTAGTTTTTACGTCTGGGTATAGTAAAAACAGTTTGGAATCATACCCTCTATTTATTTTAGCAAAATTGGGTCCTTTAAAAAAGTTGCATCGGCCCTAAAATGCAAAGAACCACGGTATTTGCCCGCGTGATGAATCAACGGACCCGACTGTCAAAGATATTCTTCGTCTCCCACATTCGAATATGGCCATCCGTACTGCCAGTGGCCAATCGTTGCCCTCGAGGCCGACTTCGATCGAATTTCACCACTTTCTAAAGCAGAAATTATAACTCGAAAATTGTATAGGTTACAAGATATGCATTCTCTTGTAGATCTGTCGTTGTCAATCGCCCAACCTCTCGCCATTTGAAGCCGAGGTGCTGGAAAATGCTATTTATACATAGAAAATAAGACTTTTAGATACCTTCGGATCATTTTTGAATTCCTCAGGATCAACCTCGAAGCCAGTCGTCTCGTACAGTTTGCAATACTAAAAGAAATCATCTTTGGAGCCTCGATTCCTCACCTGATCGTGTCCAGCAGCGATCAAATAAGTGCCCGTAACCGAATGCTCGATATGTGCAATATCCAATGTCATTGTCGCGTACGGATCGGTGTTTAGCTAAAATGAAGCTGATTCTCCCAAAATCCAGAACCATACCTTGTTGGTGACCTTAGTTGCCGCACCAGCCGCCGGAAATCTGGTGGCCTTCGGGTCGAACGTGATGAGCAATGTCTAAATTCGCGATTTCCAAGCGGTAAAACGCAATAAACGGACCTCTATTTGGTTTGGAACACCTGTCTTCGCCGCACCATCTCCACCAGCCACCAGCAGATGCCTAAAATAAAGGTAAAAACCGGTGAAAACCACCTTACCGTGTCCCCATCTTCTTCACACAAAACACCGGCGCATCGCAGATGGCAATTATCGGCGGCTCTTTCTTCGCCGATAGATTGGCGCCCATCTAGATGAAAATATAGAGATTATTATCAAGCTTAAAACTACCTAAAAGGTAAATAAAACAAAAATATAAATTTTAGAAGAATTTTTAGTTGATGGCCGTCGGTTCCAAGATCTCGACCAAATTCCAAAGCAGCGGCTACACGAGACTTCTATCGACATGTGTACCATGTAGCCCCATACGTTTTCGAAGTTTACCACATGAAAAAACTTTGAGGTTTAGATTCTTAAAAAAAGTTAGTTTCTTTTTGTTATAAAAAGTATTATATTTTCTAGTCTTGCTCTTTTTTGGGGTTCTGTCCTTATCTCGAAAATCAACATCTCGAAGGTTCATTATCTGGAAAATTTTTACTTTTAGATTGTATCCGAAATCAAGAAAATTCATGCTAACACCAGTATGAAATTTTCGAGATAATGACTTTCGAGATAATGAACTTTCGAGATGACGATTTTCGAGATAATGATAAGAATCCTTTTTTTCCTTTATTTATCTTTCTGCTAAGTTCTACGTATTTTTTTGCAGATGCTGGGCATCTTCTCGCGAATACTGCAGAATCGCCCATCCTCATGGATCGTCTCAGCGGCCAGCGCATCTGGACGATGGTGGCCACAGCCAGAGTTGGTTTTCTTTTTGTCTATGGGCTTAGTAAAACTACAGAAAAACAAATTAATTAAATTATTGCATTGCTGTTGTATCATCCTGACTCTATCTAGTTTCACGTTTGTTAGGGCCTTTGGTACTGGACTGTTGGCCGGAGGGACTAATTTTCCCAGTAAACCTGTACAGTCTCACAAAAACATACCATTTTTATAGCATTTTACACAGTTTTTAGAGCTCAAAAGCGATGAGAAACCTACAAATTGATGGATATGTTTACTTTTGGCTCAAGTATCACCAAAAAAAGTCAAGAAATTTCGTATCTCAAAAATTGAACATGTTTTGTGAAAGTTTCTAGCAATCAAAAACTACTAAGACAGTTTCTAAAAACACTGTTTGAAAGGTTGAAATTGCGGGAAAAACAACAAAAAGAATTCCCCTGCTAACAGTCCAGTACATTTTCCGCCAAAATTTCAACGACAGCTGCTCCAGCCATTCCAGACGCCATTATTCCGCGTACAGCTCCAAATCGCCGACCTCATCAACGGATGAACCTGCTGCTGATGATGCGAAATCAACGAGAATGGTCGCCAAGACGTCTCCACGAGAAGGGCTGGTGTTGAACAAGGAGAATGCAGCCCCCATCTACTACAAACCGCGCGGCAACGGCAAGGAAGATGCGTACGGAGTTGTGCCGTGGAAAGACGGGCAAGTATTGGCGAATTACCCGCTGTTCGAGGAATCGATAGCACGCTGTAAAGTGCCGTGGATATCGTATGATGGGATGACGAGCGATGAGAGGACAATCTATTTGGCACATATGAGAGCTGTGGAAGAGAGGAGACTTCAATATAAAGATCCAATCAGTGGATATCAAGTGATGACCGTCTCACAATTGCTTCTCAATGGGAAATGCTGTGGGAATGGATGTCGCCATTGTCCGTATCAGCATCAGAATGTCCCCGAAGAGAAGAAGAGATCTTTTGTGTGGAACGGCGCTTATTATGTGTAATTAAGTGTATTATTTCGTATTTTAGTTTTTTTTTAATAAATAATTGATAGTTTGAAAGCTGCACAAAAAAAAGTATACACTATAAAACACAGAAAACACGGGATTTTAGCCTCCATTGTTCATTACTTACATTTATTTTTTTCAGCTATGAATTCTCGAAGCACCGGACGCGCGCCCCCACCTTTGGCATTCATCGCCGGACACGATTAATGGTACATTTTGGATTCTTTGCCCTTAAATCGACGTCTAGGTGGTGGACAATTCGACGTTGGGCAAAGAGGCGCACGCGAGTGGCAAATTGGCCTACTGTATCCACACGTACAAACAGGGAAAACGGCCGAAACACATGCCCAAGGCTGGACTCGGTGATAAGGTATTTTCAATTGTTTTGATTCTTTGGAATTTTTCTTTTTTCTAAGGATCAAATTTTGATTTCCACGCTGGTTCATACTATATCTAAACGTAAAAACTCCAAATTTGCTTTACAAAATTCAAAAATATAAATTTTTTGACCAAAACTGAGATTTTGAAAAAAAATTAGAAGTTTTGTTAGTTGAAATATAGTTAAATTTCACTACAAACTATTAAAATGCGGACGACCACGCTAGCCTCCCCCGATAATGCAAAAGCAGCATTGTTTTTGTTTATTTAATCGTAAACATTTAGATTCTGGTGGCGATCCGTGGGCAAATGCGGAAGGCATACGTTGTGGGGGCGCATGTTCATCGACAAATGAGACAACACGGCGTACCCAGCACTGACACCAATAATATTGGTATCGCCTTTTTAAAGGCAAAATAATAATTCTTTTTTAGTGTTACTGGAAGAAGAGGGAAATCCGCTGGGGAACCGTGTGATGAAGCCGATCCCCGCCAAACTGCTCGAGAAGCGCGATCATGCCCAATTCTCCAAAGTGCTCGCCCTCGCCAACAAATATATCTAACGGTTTTTGATTTGCTTTGTGATAGATTAGTGACAGTTTTTATTTATTTGAATAATTCGTTTTGTTCAATGGCTTCGACATCATATTTATAATTGGCTGTGAGTAGAGAGGGATGGATGCGTCTTTTGACCGTATCAGTACTGTCCAGATCCACCGATCAATCGACAGACGGCGGCATTTTATAAATTAGGAATCCTTCTCCGAATTTCCCTGAGTCAAAATTGGCCGATTTGCAGTCGTTTAGCACAGCGTCCACATCTGGGCCATAATTTTGAGCGACGATGACGACGCGTTGCCACTGAAATTGAGATACAATAGAGAGAAAAAGAAATACCCTTTCTTTATATATGATCTCTGGTTCCGGTTGATACTAAAAAAACGCTATCAAAATACTTGCTATTAACTTACCAGGAATTTCTGGTATTATCGGAAAATTTGGTCCCCCGGACAACGCCAAAGTACGCAGAATTACCGTACTTGAAGCGGAGATTTGAGCCATTTGCCAGCCTTTAGGCTTAACCCTCGCTTTTTCTCCATCCATTGGCAATTCCGGTTTGAAGGTGGTCAGTTCGTGAGGAGAAGAGATCTATTTCTCGATTCTCCACTCACCACAGCGGGCATCCCTCTATTTTACCCCGACCCCGGTTCCGCTAACCACCTTTTTACGGAAACTCGCTTATAAAAAACAGCTGGTTCTACTGAAAACATCATAATTCTTGGACTTGCTGTCGATGAGAGTCGCCTTTTTATATTTGCTCGTGATTGTCGTCATGTCAGGTAAAAAACGATTTTAAAACTGTAATTTTGTTTTATTTTTACACTAAATTTGAAGTTCCGAAAAATAGCAGAAATTGTAACGAATTTCGATATTTGCAGTGGATTCTCGGCCTTCTCTAACAGATCTAGCCTGCGAAAGACGTCCCGAATTACCGTATTGTAAGGAGTATCGGTCTGAATTTTCCTGTTTTTCATTTTTTAAAGTTATAGCCGGCAAAAAGATGCCATTTCTGCAGAAATCTCCGATGATAAGTTCAAATCGAATCGACCGATTGAGAAGTTGGAGGGGTTTTTGGTAAGTGGTGGTGGTTATTTGGTGCTTTTCCATTATCGGGGGGGTGTAAAACTTTTTAGGCCCCAATTGTTTTAAAACCAGATGGTTACAGTCGCTTCGCGACTGCAACCATCTGGCCTTCGGGCTACCCTACATGTCCCACTCCACCACATCCTTTCCCACCTCCATCAATACCCCCCATGGCTGAAATCCCCTTCAAAAACTACCTAAATACCTTCCTGATGGCTTCAGATACCCCCCATAGCCGAAATCCCCTTCAAAAACTACCTAAATACCTTCCCGATGGCTTTAGATGATTTAAATAATTAATTAACATAATTAAAAAGTATTAAAAAGTATTAAAAAGTATCTATCTGGCTATCTGGGCGCGGGAAGGGACCTGGGGAAGAGGGGCGAAGGGAAAGGGGGCGTGGCCTCCCGAGAGAGGGCCCCCCCCCCTTTTACTAAGGAAAAACTTTCAAAGTTAATTTTAATAATTTAAACTAAAACTTTTTTATAATTTTTTTATCAGTTTGGGGGTTTCCGACCACGCTCTATCCGAATCCGAAGAGAGCTAAACTCTAGCTCCTTTCCCATTCGAGTTGAATTCGGCTTCAGACAGACAGACAGACGGACGGAAACCACAGCAAAATTATTATAGTTGATAATTATAGATAGTATTTCTAAATTGTTTTTACTATTCCAAAGCTACAACTTTTGTATCAAAAAATCCAAAAAACATAGATTTTTCGAAGAAAAGGTAGTTTTTCGCCTAAAATTTAAATTGTTTTCAGGTTTTTGGATAGTTTTCCACGTGAAACATGGTTAAATTGTACTAAAAACGCTATTAAATATTTACTATTACGTTAGTAGCCATCCTCCCCGATAATGGAAAAGAACCGATTATTGTCAGTATTAAAAAAAATTACTTAAACCTAGATAGAAGACTCGAAAGAGCAAGAGAAAGAAGAAGTACAAACATTATCCCCAGTCGAAGACACGACACCCATTCTTCGATCATTTCGAACGACACGACCACCACGACGACAACCCCACAATATACTGTAGCCAAAAAGGGATTTACAAACAAAAATAATGATATTATAGATTCACCCTATTCCCGACCCTTCAAAAAGATCATCGCGAAAAGAGATATTGTCCCGCCAATCAGTATACCTTCCAAGTAACCAACATTAAAGAGATTTCCTTTTTATTTTCATTTTCAGGTGACTTGCGCGCCCCAAAAGAAACTGCGCTACGATCTGCAGGTATTTTTGAAAACCCCAAAATATTTAAATATACAAAATCGGAGCTTTTTCATTATCGGGGGAGGGACCTATTTTTGTTCTATGATTCCAGAAACTCCTAGTAACGTAATATAGTAGGTATTTTGATAGTGTTAACAAAATCAAGCTATTTCGGGCGGAAAAACCAACTAAAAAATTTGAAATCTATCCAAAATCAGACCTTTCGTGGAAAATTCGGTGTATTTTGTATTTTTTTATGGAAAGTTTTTACGATTAGAACTAGAAAAACAGATTAGAAACGCTGTCTATTTTTATGTTAGAGACATTTAATTGCATTTTCGGTGAAAAAAACTACGTAGAAACTTACTGTAAAGTGTTTTTACTCAGGCTGGCGTTTTAGGGTGGGACCAAGCCTATCTTGTTCAGAATTTTTTGCTGATTCCGAATCCGTTTTCCAAATTTGCTGCGGACTTCGCGTTGAAAAGTCATTTTTGGTCTAAATTAAGCTTAAAAACGGCATAAATTCGGATGCTGGCCCACTATTCCCTGTCTGGGTCCAGGTATTGTTGTGCCCTTTATCTACCCTCCCGAAGCCCCCTTCCCAGTTGGCACCATGGTGCATTGGTAAGCTGTTTGCTAGCCAGGCACAGGGCGGCGGTTCGATCCCCGCCCTGCACAATTTCTTTTGCTTTTTGCACAAAAACACATGATTTTTTGCATAAAATCGTGCTTTGACCTCTAAAACCATTACCGAGCCAGTTTTAACGTCGGAGGTGACGACAACTTAAAAAATAACGCAAAAAATCCAGGTTTAGTCAATTTTTTAGCCTAAATGTCGAATAACTTTTTAAATAAAGGTCGGCAGCAAATTTGGAAACTAGATTCTGAATCAGCGAAAAATTCTGCACAAGATAGGCTTGGTCCCATTCTAAAACGCCAGCCTGAGTAAAAACACTTTACAGTTAGAAAAAGCTTAAAATTTGAAGTTTGGTCAAATATCGGTCATTTCTGGTTGAAAATCGATATTTTTTGTATTTTTAGTAGTTTTCACGGTGAGAAATAGTCTCTAACCCGTTCCAGGTGTTCTGCCAAGAATATGCGGACATTTGCGGCGTCCCAAATACAAATCTCTACCCCTCGAGAACGGGCAGAAATCCGGAAGACGAGGGAAGACCCGAGGGATACGGCCAAAAACAGAAAAATGGCAATTTCGGAATGGGAAATAGTTTCGCGTTTGGCACTGGAATGTTGCCAGGTATGTAAAAAGTTAGAAACCTCGATTTTTCAAGCCTTTTCCGCTTTCAAAAGTGTATTTTCAGGGTTTTCTGTGGTCTCGTCGCAGGGTGCCGATATTGGCCACGAAAATCTGCCATTCTTCAATCAAATCGGCGGAATGATGATCAATAATGGAATGGAGATTGGGGCAACTGGGAAGAGAATTGGACAAGGACCCGCTAGGACAATTGATGCACTCGATAGAGGGTACGTTATAACTCAAAACAATGATATTAATACACAGATACTACATTTAACGATATTTTTCGGGAGTTTTTCAACGACATCCGATAGAGCCTCGAAAAATCTACAAAGAGCCGGTTCTTTTGCATTATCGGGGGCCAACATTTTTTCTACAACTAGATTTTTCGACCATAAATGGTCGGTTTCGACCAAAATTTCACCTAGACATTTTTTCTAAGTCGTTCTATCTATTTCTGTCACCTAAAATATAGTTAAATTTTACTAAAACACGTAATATACTCAATTTAAGCCCAAAATAATGCAAAATAAAGAGTTATGGCAAAAACAAGGAAAACCGGGTAATGCTTTTCAATGCCAATGTAATTTTGAAGATTCCTTTTTTTCAGTTTCCCAACCGGAAATGCACTATTTGGTGGCCCGGGTGCCGAGCCGTCATCGGCTGATCGTCGTGCCACCGGGGAATTCCTCCGTTCATTCGGCATTCCAAATGTTGCTGGCCTTGGAAAAAGTTTGTCCTGTTAAATGCTATTTAATAATCATAATAGTTTCTCTAAAGAAATCTATAATTTTGTTATTTCAGTCCTAAAATCCCTAAATCCGCCCCGTCCTCGTAAACAGCTGTCGCGCGGATTGGGATATGAACCGGGCTATGGAGCCCTAAACAAAAAGGCGCCATTTGCTAGTGGAAAGGTTTGTAAAGGGCCTTTTTCTTGACCATTAATTATTATAATTATTGAAATAACTAGATTTTTATCGAAATTTTACTTTTCTAGGTTGACCACGATTCCGTCAATCTGCCCGGAGGTATCGGCGATTTCGAGATCAACAAGGGAGTCGGATTTGGCGTCGGAAAATGAGCACAAATAAATAAATATGCTTTTCTCCTCTGCGGAGACAGGGTGGGACAGAAATCCCCCCCGAGTCCGAAAACCCGGGCACCCGAACGGGCCGAAAATGGCCATTCGGGCGCGTGCACCCCGGCCTGACCATACGGCTGTGGCTCAGCAGTACAGAGTTACTATGACATTGACACGCACCGGCAATAAATATAGACCAAATGCCTACTTGTAAATAAATAAGTGTTTTATAGTTTTCTTTACTATTATAGGTGTTTATTCTCAAAAAAACTTGTATTTCATCCCATGTGAGTGTCTTTGCGACACGAAAGCAACCACCACCTATTATAATCGGTAACCTTCGCTTTAAACCCAAATTTCATTTAGATAACTAGCAAGGCTTCTTGGCCGTCGTCGTTCCGGACGTGTCGCCAACCGAAGAAGGCGGCCGCCGGGAATGTGTTTGATGCAAAGACAGTGTAGAAACTTTCGGTTTGTTCGTTGTATTTCTAGGCTTTTTATAATGTTTGTTTCTGGAAATGGTCACGATGAGGAAGCGAATCGTGTTCGTCGATGTTCAGTGGTGTGGTACTCAGGCGCTTGGTATATTCCGATTGTTACATGACCACGGCGGTGCGACAATGTGCATCCGGAATGTTGAAAGTTGTGTGGCCTTATTCTACGCTGGTCGGTACCTTTTCCTACACCTCTCAGGCTTGCCGGCGAGTGTAGCGACGCGTTCCTGGCCGGAATGCTTGAGGGAGGTATATTTCTTTGTTGGTAACTTTAGGGGGTGCCGACAAATATGGGCGTTTGGATGGTTGGCTTTGCTGTGGAATGAGGTGTGAGTTCTTGCTGCGCTTTTCCTTTTAGGTAGCTGGGCAGGTAGAGGGGAAAGAAAATTGGGTTATGTTGTATAGTAATAATAAATTACTATGTTTGGTACTTCCGATCATGTAACCTACGACCTACCTTTGTTGAACTAAAATCTGAAGTTTTAACCAGTTTGGCCATTTTGCATAGGTTTGTCAAAAGCCGGGTCTAAACCTTTGTAATATATGAAAGTTTTCGGCTAGAATAAAACATTTTCCCAAAAATCCTGAATGCTATGGAGTTGCTTGTCCGCGAGCTGGCAGGCAATGATGCGATATAGTTCTCGGGAAGAGGTATGAATATTTTTATTTTGTTTTGTGCAATGTTTGCCCATGTATTTCTTAATTTAATTGCTTTTTAGGAACACGCAAGAGGCGAGCGCCTCGACGCGGGCTGCCAGTCGCCGACAGCCGGAAAGAAGACAAGTTGACCTATTTACGGTCAGATTTGTCTTTTAAAGGTTAAATGAATTGCGGAAGGAATTAATGGATAATTTTCTATGTCTAATGAGGACTCTTGACAAATTCTGCGCTAATGTTAGTTTACTGGAAAACGAACAATAATATTTTTAAATTCCCATTTTGACGTCTTTACTTGTTGTTCTGATCTTTCCGATTGTTTGGTATTTTTCGTATGACTTTTGGGATTGGAGGTGGATATGCAAGCAGTAAATTGTTTTCAACCTATACAACAATGAGTGCTCAACCCCCTATAAGAGTAACGCGCAGTTTCCATAAGTTTTTTCAATAACAACTTTCAAAGAAATTTTTCCGCGCTGAAATTAATTGTCGTTATTATTTTTATCGCTGCAACAAATGGGCTTAGCGAAATTTTTGTAATTATAGTAATTTAGCAGTCAAGTAATTATAGTTAGATCGTTTGTAGAGTATAGAAATAGTAAGTTTATTAAATGTTGTAGGATTAAAACTTCTATTAAAAATTCGATGTAGGAATTTATTTTCTTTTCATTTCAGCGGCACTCGAAATGAGGGGCGTCTTCCAGCCGGGAGCGAAAAGTAAAATCGTACTGCTAACCTTTTTTTGTGTGATTTTTCCTGTTTTTTTTTGTTTGTAAACATGAATTTTAAGTTATAACTAAATTGTTGTATATGTTCTTTGAATTTTGGGTTATATAACCCTTTATATCTGGTAATTACAACCGAGTGGGTGTCCGCAGGGCCAGCCGGAGCACAGAATGGTGCTCAAGGCATGGTCATGCTCTGGGGACACGGTTGTGGCACGGGCCGAGCCACGCCGGGCCCCCGGCACGGCGTGCCACGCTGCCCTCGCGGTATAATCTACACGAGCCCGCTCGTTTTGGGCCGTGCCACACCCGTGTCATGCCATAGATTTACCACGTCAAAAAGCACCAGAAACGAAGCGAAAGTCTCTAGCGGGATCCACGACTTGTAAAACAAATTTTTGCAACCGTAGTCTCGTAGTTACCGTAACCCACCGAATATTTTTGGCGCTAAAAATACCCTTTTTCACTCTAGTTACGAATCTTTGGACCTAAGGACATTCTGAGGATCGTTTTCCATTCCATATTGTTAAAAATATCTTTTCCACATGAAAACATGCTTAATTTACAAGATTATACATTTCCCAGCCTTCATTACCGCCCTTTTCCCGTTTGGCGCCATCCCCTCCCCTCCTAAATCGTGGACAGGGCCGCGTTGCGTGTGCGAGGCGCGTGTGACAGCGGTCTTTTTCTCTTGTCCCTCTCTGTCTTTCCTCTTCTAACCCCAGTTCCGTGGTGATGTCTGTCCGTCGGTGTCCGTTTTGCCCGTCAAGCCGCGTAGTTTAAATTCTGGCAACTACGCAACCATACTAATGGCGTAACTGTTTACGATATGTTTTTTTGTTTACCATGATTACAGTATGACTTTTGTTGGTGGACACCTTTTAGGGGAATGTGGGTCGGGGATGGCTTTGGGGTGGAAATCGAGTATCATGATGAAAGTAGAGATATGAAAAGTTTGGGGATACGATAAGGGAACGAAATCAGCTGTTTTTCCTTGTTTTTGTTGGTTTTAAAAAGGGGAAATCTTGATTTTGAATGAAAACTATAGCTTTTGATGATTTTTGGTGTTTCGAAACACTTGCGCGGCTTAAAATTTGCCGGTTTTTGCTTTTATCGCGGTTGGAAAAGCAAAAACCAAAGTTTTCGCATTGAAAAAAGCTAGAATCCTTAATTTACTTTGTTAAAATGACTTGATTCCTTCCCTGGATTCGTTTCGAAAAGATACGTAATCCCTTTCTTTCTTTCCGCAAGCTTCGAAAATCCTTTATATTCCCATTTTCTCTTGCTTTCTATTTTTCATTTCTTCGTTTCTGAAACTAGCATATAACTTTAACATTTCAGCAAGAAGTGCGCACCCGCCCTTCTATGCCAAAACGCACTGACAATGTCGGGTAGACCAAAAAGGTACGCATTTGGCCGTAATCCCTAACTGGCGGTTTCTTTTTAGAGCAAATGCTGGGAAGCGATCGTTGGCTGATGATGATTATTCGACACCAGTGCCGAAACCCCGTCGCGAGACAATCACCCCGCCAACCACCATGGGGCTCACCGGAAAGGTAGCGCTTCAAAATTCGATTTCCAATTTTTTTCTAGGTGCTGAAACCCAGAGGAATCAAGGGAAGGCCCAGAAAATCTTCTCCAGCCGGCTCCACGGCCTCTTCATCGTCCCGATTGACAGCTGAGACGCCAAAAATGCCACCGCCAAAGTAAAATAGCGTTTTCGTATAATATTTCTCTTTCTCAGGGCCGCAGCCGCCTCGACCAGGTCCAAGAAATCCCGGAAAAAGCGCGACTACACTGACTACTACAGTGAGGCCGAGGACACCGAGGAGGAGAGCGATGTCGATGATCTCAAACAGTCTTTTGGTATGAATTTTTAGGAGAAAAATGCCTATTATTTTTTTAGATGAAGATGTGCTGGAGGATGAGCGCGAAGATTTGGACCTTGGATCGATTGATGTCGAGGATGAGGAAGACGACATAGCCCCGTGGGCGAGCGTAGACCCCGAAGATTTGCCCGAGCTCATCCTCCCCGAATCGAGCCAAGACCTCAAGATCCCCGAAGAGCACATCCTCGCCGTGACCGAGCTGCACAACTTCTACCACGTCTACGCCTACCATCTCCAGATCAGCCCGTGTCTTTTCGAGGATTTCTGCACGGCTCTCGTCTCGGAGAGCAATTCTCTACTCCTCGCCGAGCTTCATCTGTCTCTTCTCAGGCTTATCTGGAGGTCAGGGTTTTTGTAGAATATTTTTTATATTGTTTTTTTTAGAGAGGACGACGAGAAGCACGTGCAATGTAGTGAAAAAGAGACCATTGTCTGCTGGAATCTGCTCACCCAAATTGTCGATCAGCACAATTATGCCGAGGTAAAGCTCATGCGCTCTTTTTATTTAATTTTCAATCCAGGTCCTTCGCCTCTACATCCAAGCCGACCAGCGCTACCCGCAAGACCTGGCCGAATCGATCAAGACCCGCGATTATCCCTTTTCCCCTGTCTCGCTTCGTTTGGAGGTAGATTACCTTCTTTTCGCTGGAAGTTGTCTGTGTGTTTTTAGGTTTTGCAATGGCTGCAGAGCTGCTTCCTCCAAAGCGCCGTCTTCAAGCAGATCATCAAGGAGGAGGGCAAAATAATGGTATAATTTCTGATGTTTTTAAAAGTAAAGCGCGTTTTTTTCAGTCGGAATCGACGTGTAGGGCGTGTGGAAAGCTGGGAGACATTGTGATGTGTGACAGGTATTCGCTTCTTGCTTATTTATCTATTTGCTTTTAGTTGTGACGCGTCGTACCATGTGAAATGTCTGCAAAAGGATCAGCAGCCGAATCAGGATAAGGAGAAGGAGAATGACCCATGGTATTGCCCGATATGCACCAAAGAAAGGGTACGTTTCCGGTGTTAATTTCATATTTCTTTTTTGTTCAGTGTCGCGGTCTGTCGGATTGTCTTCCATTTGGTGTGACGGCTGACAAATGCCCGATTCGAATCCCGACCCTCGGAAAGGATCGCCATGCCCGTATCTATTGGTTCATCGCTCGCCGAATCTTTGTGTAGGCCATTTCCCAATTATTTCATTTTTATATTTTTCAGTCATGATCCTGAGAAGAACGCCGTCCACTACTATTCGACGTTGCCCCAGATACACGAGTTGCTGTCGAGGCTTGATGGCGAGCTCTATGAAAAGGATCTGATGGCCACTTTTGATGTCAGTTTCATCAAAAATTAAAAATTATGCTATTTTTAGACAATCCACATAGACATCATCGAGCAAATGTCGATCACCGTCGAGCTGACGAATGAGCGACGGATGGAACGGGTGCAGGTCGCCTACGCCGCTCGAAAGGAATTCCAGGACGCCGTGCTCAGCCTTGACAATGGTAAATTTTTTAGCGGAAATTTCGGCTCATATATCGAAACGAAAATTTTGTCTTTTCAGCCAACCGTGCGGCCCGTATCCTATCAACGCGAAAAGAAGAGGGCATGGCTCCGATTGTGGCTAAACTTGAGCCAATGATGGGTCTCTCGGAGGGAAAATGGACCAGCCCATTCTGGATTGGAAATCTTGAAGGTAGGGAATGATTTTATGGCTTTTAATTCTTGCTTTTCAGCCCCAACCTTCTGCCGCGAGACTGGCAATGGCCCCGACCTCCTGGCCAATGGCTATCGTCTCGGTTTTGATGATCTGGTCGTCTTTGGCTATGTGTAAGGATTATTTCCCCCCGAAAATACCTCTTTTTTTATAGTAACTATCGAAACGACGACCTCGCCAAGCCCCATGCTCAACGAAAACGGGAAGCAGATCGCAAGAAGTACCTCAGCATGAAATTCTCTTTTGATGAGTTCCCATTCAAGGTACAATTTTTCCTTTTTTTATAAGATCTCTTTTTTTAGTGGGTCGAAGGCCCGTCGATCGGCCAGAACTACAACAAGGCGTCCACATTCAGCGTCCTCAAAGAGACGGTATAACTTTTTTTCATCGCTAATTTGTGTTTTTTTTCCAGATGATCAAGCTGCAAAATGACGTGCCAATCGAGCTCTTCCATCGCCATTGGCCTGGTTATGAACCCCTTTGGCTAAAGGTAAACTATTACAAATTAATTTTTGTTTAATTTATTAAATTTTGGTTTAATAAAAATTAAAAATTAAAAATTTAAATTTAAACCTCGAATTTTTCTAGGGATTTGATGAGCGAAATGTTCGTTGTCTTCGCGAGGCCCTGATGAGGCTGGAGTGTGGCTTGAGAAAGCCGCTTTTCCTCCAGCATTGGTGAGAATTAATTGCTTCGATCTACTTGGTATTTAGGTGGAACGGCATTGGGACGACCCGCTTTCTCCGCACCACCCAGGAAGATCGCGACGAACGGTCGAAAACGGAAGAACAGAGGAGGAAGCTGGAAAAGGTATCTATCGACTGAGCAATTCCAATTTTTATGCCTTTTTTTAGGCGCTGGCCCTGCAGAACCCCGACGAGACGGACGACTTGATTTGGGTGCAATTCGCGAAGCTCGGCGGCCTGCCAAAGCACAAGCTCTGGAATCTGCGGGTGCGTTTTTTGAGGCTTTGAAGAGCCACAAAGCTCGGTATTTGTCAGTTTCCAATTTTTTTTTCAGGACGAGCAATATCGGCTGAACGGCAAGGGCGCGTTGGGTGGATGGGCGTGGGTTGGAAAAACGTATCAAAAAAGGTATAACAGCTTTTTTAACAAATTTTTCGTTTGTTTTAGATATGTCCCCACCCCGATCTACAGCAAGGAGGAGATGATCAATGGGATTGACATCAAGGTCCGTGTGTTTTGTCGAAAATCAAAAAGCATTACCTGTTGTAGCCGTCAAAGGGCAAACCCCCGAAGCGAATTGCCGACGTGCTGAAGAAGCTGGTGAAATGGCGCGACACCGAGGAGGATTGTCAGTTTTTAATGTCTTTCGATTTAATCCTTTTTTTAGCTGCCGTCTCTGGCATCACGAATAACGCCGAGAATTGGCGCTGCAAATCTCCATCTTGCCCGTAAGGAGATTCCCACTTTATTAAATTAATTGCTTTTTTAGGGAAAACGACGAGCAAACACTAGAATTGAATGGAGGCGTGAAAACGGTGGGATTTTGCGGTATTTTCTATATTTTTGTGCTTCTAGTGCTCGACCCCGAAATGCCGTGAGATCAAGGCGGAAGAGGAGGACATCGAGGTCGACATCAGGCACGATTTCATCAGTAAGAGCCACTTTCTGTGTCTTATTGTTTCTTTTTGTTTCAGTCCCAGCGGAGACAATCTGCTCGAGTTGCCCGGGTATCGTCGTGGCCAAGGATCCCCTCCAACAGCCATCCATTGTCGCGCCGAAAGTGTTGGGTGAAGAAGAGCCATTCCCACTCCCCAAGCCCTTCTCATTCCAACGATCAAATGGCACCGAGAGTCTGCTCGCCCTTCCCTATCGATATCTCAAGATTCTCGCCAGGCATGGAGGGCTCAACCCAACATTCTTTTGCCCCGGATTCAGCAGGGCTGGAAAGGTATTTTTTAATTAAATAAAAAAAATTGAAATTGTTAAAATAAAATCAAAATTTTCGTTTTTTTAAAAGGAACTACACTGTTTGCAGGGGGTTTTTTTGTAGTTTTTGGTTGTTAGAAAGTTAAAAAAATATTTTTGCCTTCGGCCTTTTTTTCTTGCATTTTATAATTTTTTATAAACAGACGAAAAAAAATTTGAATTTCATGAAAGAAAATAAAATAAATCCATTTTTTTAGTCGAATATGCACGCGTGGAACTACCCGTGTGCCCGGCCCCAATACGAACTGTGCTGGAAATGGGCGACACAACACGCGAAATCGATGCAAGTGCTGGGCCTCTACCTCCGAATCCTTCATGCCTGTATCCGATGGGGAGATATGCAAACAGTGACTGATGAAGAGGAGAAACACAAGAGATTCCATCTACATCTTGATGATCGCGATGAGACACGAATTGTCATCGGCCACAAGGAGATGCCTCCGGATGGATACTATGAACGGTATGGAATTTTGTCATTTTTCTGGAATAACGCTGCTTTTTGTAGGTATCAAGTTCAAGTGGACATAACAATGGTTGATGATGACGATGATGATGGCGCGGATGCGGGCAGCAGCTCCAGGAGTACGTTTCAGCTTTATTTACGCATATATACCCTTTTTAGGCCGAAAGAAGAGGTCGATGACGATGAAGCGGTCGGATCTGAGGGCTCGAGGCCCGAAACGAAGCGAGACTCGCTGGATTGACGGTGTCGATCTGAAGGTTTTTGGCTCACCTTTCCTAGCAATTATTTGTATTTTTTAGCTCTGGGAAATTACGGCCTACTGGCGAAAGAAAAATGGCGGAAAACCGGGTGGACGGGTAGGATTTGATTTGATTCAGAAAATGGTTTATTTTTAGTCTGATGGTCACTATCGCCCGCAGCCAATCTCTCGCCAGGCGACGCAACAGCAAGGGTCCGCCATGTCTCTCCGTCATGCCCCAAGACCGGTAGGGCTTTTTAACTATGAAATATTTTATTAGCTAAAAGCTACAAAATTATGACTATTTTTGAATTTCGAATCCTATGAAAATTCGATTTTTAGAAGCCTGTCCATTCGCCGGTCGACTTCACGAAGCCACGAAACCCATCCACCAGAAGTGTCAGTTTTTAAGGATTTGAAAACGAATTTTTTGCCTTTTTTCCTATTAAAATGTATTTTTAGGAGACTCCTCGTCTTCAGCCGGCCCTGACGCATCGTGGAGTGCCTGTTGCCTCGACATCATCCGACACTGGCCAATTGGTCAACAAGCTTTTGGTGGGGATTTTTCACCTTTTTTCCTAAATTTTAAAATTTAACTTAATTTTTGTAATGTTTTTACCATAAATAATTCGTTTAGGGTGATCGCCTCCAGCTGTCAGACGGCCGGGTGCTGATCCGCAAGCGGCTGGCCGATCCGCAGCTTGTTCCGGTATTTTACAAATTTTTATTTTTGTAATTTTCCATTTAGCGAGGAACCTATGCAAATCAACAGGGCATCGTTCAGCCTACCAATGGAAATCTGGAGGTTCGTGCACATTTTTAATTTAATTTAATTTTTGTAGAGCCCCTACCACCCGCCGCAGCCCAAACAGCCCCGCCTCGACCCCGCCAATGATCATCAACAGTACCACGCAGCCGCGGAACAGAAACCGGTGGGTGTTGTGTGTTTTTGGAATGGAATGTTGTGTGTTTTTCGTTTGTTGTCCCGTCCTCTTCTTCATCAGTGCAAGCTTCTTCATCTACCACTGTCCAATCGAATGCCCCCTATAATCTGCGACGCCATCTACCGCCCCAATATCACAAGCATCTCCTCGAACAGTACGACGATTGCCCCGAATTGCATCAGGAGGTATTTCATTTATTTCTTTATCTCAATTCATTTTTCGCATTTTTCTTGTGAAAATTGATGCCGATTACTTTTTTGCCTAAAAGTTCAGAAACTTTGTTTTTTATGCTCTCCAGGGGGGAAACCTATTTTTCTAGGGAAATTTAGCAATATTTGAAGCAGCAAAACTATTTAGAAAAGTGAGAAATTTTGAAAATTTAAATTTATGCTAAAACTGACGATTTTGAGGGAAATCTATTTTTTTTCCACGTTTCAAGACAGTTTTGGAACGGTTTTTCGTCTAGAAAAAGCGAAGAACTGTAGAAATATCATTTTTATGGTTTATTTATTCTAGAAAATTTTGCTTGATGTAAAGAAAAAAACCAAAAATTTCTATAAAAGAAATTGGCATTGATTTCAATGATCTATTTTTGCTAAAATTAATGCCGATTATTTTGCGCAGAAAATTCTGGATTCAATAAAATTGGCATTGATTTTTTATTTTTACGTGTTTTGTTCAGGCGGAAGATGATGAGGAGTACGTGACGATACGCACCGGAAAGAGAGGACGGCCCCCTCGACTCAGGCAATCGGCCGTAGAAGCAATGAGGACGATGGGCAAGCAGCAGCCACTCTCCAAGACTCCTCTATCTCGTCGCCAAGTCCCGGCACCACCGTCAATCCCTCAGCCACGAGTTCAACGCGTTCAACGGGTCCAGCACGTCCAACAGGTTCAGCAGGTCGTTCGGAAGTATCCGCCCGGATTCCATCCTCTGCAAGGTCAATATGGATTCCCACAACAATACTACACGCCTCCACAATACGGATATTACGATGGAGGAGGATATTCTGGATATGGAGGACAATACGGAACACCAGCCCCTATCCCACAGCCAATGACCCCATTATTATGTCCAAAATATCGACACTCCAATGCCGACAATACCCGAACAAGGAGAATTGGTGATAAGAGAGGGAAGACCTGTCGCCTCGCTCCCACCGCAACTTCAACAAGTACAGATGAGCAACAACAATGTGTGGATGGCTAGGAGCTATGGAGGAGATCACGGATACCCACCACCAATCCGTCAAGTCAAGACGGAGCCCGAGGCATATGACGGATATCATCATGCTCAACCGATGCCCTATCTACAGCAACACCCTCAATTCGTCATCCCGCAGCCCGTCAAGCAGGAGCTGGTAGATGTTCAACTTCAACCACTCCCCCGCGGCTGGTGATGCTCAATTCAACCCGAATATCGAGATCAAAGAGGAGCTGGACGTGGGCGAGATGGACGACGTTTGGAACGAATTCTTTATCGATCCCCCGCCACAATAGCATGGTGCATCCCTCGGTATTATTGGCCGTCTTTTTGTCTTTAGCGATCCGCTTTTTGGGATTTAGGTATGGATCGAAAGCTCTTGACGAGGCGCGCAAAATGTTTTCAGCGATTTTTGAAATTCGGCATTTTTTGGCTAGTTTTTTGAAAACACATTGCATGATTTGCCAAAAAGGCTCAAATAGCTACCGTCTAGGTGCCAGAAAAGGCGTAAAAATTCGGAAATTTGGGTTTTTCTAAAAACCCTGGTCTAGGCATCATGCATCAGAAATTCGTCGATTTTCACAAAAAGCATAGAAGTTTTTATAATACTATCAAAACCACGAAAATCTGAGCGAATAAACTTGTTCTCCTCGTTGAGAGCTTTCGATAGATACCTAAATCGTAAAAATCGGACATTTCTACGGACCTCCAGCGAGTTTTTTGCCCCCATCTTTTTGTCTTTATATGTTTGTTTCTGCCCCCCGTCTTTTTGCCCTCTGATATTTGTTCTCTCTGCCAGTTGATAGATTCTTATAAAGGAGTAATAGCTCGTGCTCAGGGTGAATATTAATAAACGAATGTTAGTTACTGGCTTGTTTGTCGTGTTTTTACGCAGTCTGTGTCAATGTCCCATTGGCTATCACAACGAAAATCTAGTTTTTTATTGCTCTTGATTTAATGGATAAATTTAGGCGGTACTCGCCCACCACGATGGCCCTCTACAACACCCGAATCGACTGATGAATGGCGGAGGGGAACAGCAGCAACGACAGCAACACGTCAATATCGTCGTCCGGCAGCCGCCGCCACAACAACAGCCATCTTCTATCAATGGAATCAATGGAGGATATCAACCATCACCGCCACAACAGCAACAACCACAGCAAAGGGAAATGCTTCTTGTGCCTAGGCGAGTTTTTGAAGCTTAATTTTATCGTTAGAACTTTTCTAATAACTTAGCAAAAACGGTTCTGGGCTTTTGGGCTAGGGCGAAAAATCTATCTAGCTTTTGGAAGCTTTTTATCGGCGTCGGCGTTGGATTTTGTAGAACGATTTTTTTAAGAAATATCTTAGAAACGTGGAAAAAATGTCTATAATTTTCAATTTTTTTTTGGAAAAATCTACATTTTTGTATGTTTTTTGTGGAGTTTTTACGCTTGACGCCTAAAATCCTGGTTTCCCAGGTTTTGGAAGTTTTTATCGGCGTTGGCTTTTTATTGGGAATCGCCATCTTCATTCCTAATTTTTTTATTTTAGACAAGACGGTCAACCGGGAATGCGACGTATCCCCGTGATTCGCGGAGCGCCAACCCAACAACCCCGCCGAATCCTTGTCGTCCGAAAAGCCGATGGATCAACCCAATACTTTGAGACGGAAGCTGTGCCTGGCCCGAATGGAGAACCCGGCAATCGGTAGGCATTTTTTGACTCGCGGATATAACCCTGTTCATTTCCAGGGTGCTTCGACGGATCACCGAAAATGAGGCTCGACCTGGCGGGGCTGGCGCAAGACCCCCACAGCCACAACTCTACCCACGACGCCCGTTCTTGAATGAGGTACCTTATTTTTATCGAGTTTTTAGTAAAAAAATCGCGATATTTGCAACGGAAAAAGTTTTTATAACCCTTAGGAAACTTCTAAAAGCCATTTTGGTAGTAAAATTGAGATTTTTGTAGTTTTTTTAGCAGAAACTTGTTGAGAAACCTTTTAGCAATGATTAGCAAGTGTTTTCGTTAAAATTTAAAAGATATTTTTAAACGAATAAAACATTTAGAAAGCTCAAAAAAACATCTAGAAATCAGTAATTTTGATAGAAAATGCGATATTTTTGCTTTTTTACAACGGTTTCGAAGGTTTTTGACGTGGAGGACTAGAAAGAACGTTTTGGAAAGACTTCTTTTTAGGGTCAACGTGTGCAACAACAACAGTTCCGCCCTCCCGTGCAACGAGTGCTGATGAATAATGGTGGAGTGCCGGCATTGGTCGACAATGGCCATCCACTACACATCCGCCAACAGCAACAAGTACAGCAACAACAGCCACCATCTGCACCCCCGAAAAGACCACCCCCACATCTCGAATCTGAACCCGAGACTTGATTCTCCCGTTTTCTAGCATTTATTAACCTCACACTTATGATTCTCTTTTTTTTTATAATTCCTGTGTGCTTTCGTTGCCTTACCCCCCATTAATTTCTCACTTTTTTTGATGACTAATTAATTGCCATGTTGTACAAGTAGCAGCTTTACGGATTGATGCTTTCCCCTTGGCTATACCATTTTTTAGAAAATGATACAATACAATCCACTCATTCTATGATACGAGTATTTGGGCCAGTTTGTGCATATGTATACGGTCTCCTTCTTATTTTGTCATCTTGTGTGTTTTTCCTTTTCTTTTCTGTGGATGCCGTCTGTGATTTGATGGCATTATCAACGCGGATAAATGCATTATACTAAATATTTTCGGTGGAATTAAACAAGCGTAAATATACGAAAGTACATCTCTATATCATTTTTTGAACGTATTTAGAAAAGGCTTTTTCAATTTTGTACCCTCTGAAAAATGTGGATTTTGAAATCACGATTTTGAGCATTTTCGGGCCAAAATCTACTCCAAAACGCTCTCTGCTAGCTTGTCAGCCATCCGCTCTACAGCCCAGCAAAAACGCGACGCTCCAATAGACACGTGTGGTGTGATCGTCTGGCCGTGATGCCAGTCGCAACATATCTTTTTGATTCGTTAAAAACTTATAATAATCCTGGAATTTATTTCTAAAAACTCGAAAATAACTTAAAAAAGTTCTATCTATTTTTCAGGGTCTAAATCTCTCTTGAAGACCCGAAATGGATCCGAATAATGGCGATGGTGAAGAGCCGCCGCCAGTTATCCCCAGGTTCGTTAGTTTTTATGCAAGTTTTTCAAGGCTATGTTGCCATTTTTGCGAGGAATTGAAGGATTGATAATTTTAGATATGACAAGGGCCCTCCACCCCTCCAAATCGGCACCCGGCGACTGATTCGAGGCCCCCAAATGACACAGCCTACGAATAGCCATCATCCATATGGAGGACCCGGGAATGGATGTGAGCGGAAGAAAGTGCTGATGATTCGAAGACCCGATGGATCCACACAATTATTACGGCCTGTCACGCCCAGGGAGGATGGCATCAATCGGTGCGTTTTACTTGGTAATACTGAGCAAAAATCCGGCTAAAAATTTTAGAAACATGCTTTTTATCTGGATTTTATTATTAAATTAAGCTTTCTAGCAATATCAGTCAAAAGTAGCTAAAGTTCCTTTTAGAATGGGCCAACGCACGACAGCCGGCGGTCTACAAAGTCGGCCATTTGGGACGACGACAGTGAGGACGTTGACTACAAACGCATTCCGACCACCAATGCATCGACCACAACAGGTAAAACGTGTTTAAATAGTGTTTTGTAGTATTCCTAGACGCAAAAATTTCGCAAAAACCAGTTTAAAAATACGAAAATCTCGATTTTCGACCAAAAAATTCAAATTTTTACACAATTTTCAAGATTTCTAAATGGTTTTTCGGCTTTAAAGACAGCTGAATTTTACTAAAAAGGCTATTAAAAATATTTTATATTCTTCGTTTTTAGATGAGCCGCTTCGTGGATGATCCATTTATGAAGCGGATGGAAGTGGCTCCGTTCTCTGGCCCCGAGACGCGTCTCGCACAAATTAGACCGCCGATGGGCATCCAGTCGCGCATTGTTGGGGCGAGTTTCTAGCTATTTTTTTCAGTGATTTTAATTTCAGGGCGGTATCCGTCGTTATGGGATGGCGCCTCCATCGATGCAATCACCAATTATGAGGCCACCCGCTGCTGCCTATAGAGATTTTGCAGCCAGACGCAATCTCTACGATCGCATACAAAAGTTGGTTTTTTGGCGAATTTTTGTAGCCAATTTGCGATAGATAAAATGAGCGCATAAAAAGTTGGCTTTCTTAAATTTTTGCCAATTTTGATCGCGGATTTCGATAGCTAATTAGCGCGTAGAAAACTTAATTTTTATATGTTTTTGTCGAATTTGGGGGCCAATTTTTAAACAATTACGACAGCTATTTTTTGATTTCTAGACCCTTAAATGAACTTTTGTAACCAGTTACCACACGTAAAACTTTATTTTTGTCTTTTTTCCAGACGCCACAACCCGGATCGTAGCGTCCATTTTGAAGTGGATGATGCGATGGGAGAGGGAAGGTACGTTAATTTATAAATTTTCCATTCCCGTTTTCTTTAGAGGTGAAATGAAGCCCCCAGGAATGTCGTCCGCATCATCCTCCCTCCTTCAATCCTCTTCTCGACCTCCACACGCCGGCCAAGGAATGCTCTCCAGAAGAATCGTCGAAGCCCCGATTTTTCCCGAGCATTTATGCAAAAATCTACAGCCTCGGCCCAACGATTCGTCCGATACGAAATGCATTAAATTGGTAGGTTTTCGGCTTTTCTTAAAAAATACAGAATATTCAATTTTCGACTAAAATGGCTCCATTTTTTGGATAGTTTCTGCACTTGAAATATGCAGAAAATGACGAAACCACCCCCCCGCCGATAACGCCACAGCTCCGTTAGAATATTATTACGTTCTTTTGTATTATCGGGGGGACCAACTTTTTCTGGGGCCCAAATTTTTCAAATATAAATAGCAGAGGTGTTTCAAAGTTTTTTCACTATTCTTGAACGTAAAAACTTTACAAATTGTATTTTGAATCGATTCTTGACCAAAATACCGACTAAAAAACTCTAATTTTTTGTATTTTTCCTCCATTTAAAAATCATTAAATTTTGTTGTAAAATGCTCAATTAAAGCAATTAATATGATTTTAATAGGCATTTCTCGACTGATTGGAAAAAGTTGTTCGATCCGATAATGCAAAGACCGATGATTATTTTTTTGAGATTCATATCCTTTTTTAGGTTTATTAAAATAGAGTTATTTTCCGCATTTAGGTGCTGGAATCGATGATCTCGCAAGTATGCCGCTGGGATAAACACTATGGATGGTACAGGGGCCATCTCAACAAATTGCCCAAATATAAAATGTAATTTCTTTACCGTATCCCCTTACATCTTTTAGGGCTCGGAAGATCTACCTGAAGCAGAATGAGATCATGATATCAGAGAATATTGATCATATCCGGAAGGAGATCAACAAGAGGAGGAGGTACCTTTTTCCGGGAGCGCCAGAATTTTATTTCTTCTTTTAGTGAGCTGGAATCTCGTGCCGAAGCGGAGTTGGGCGTGTCGGCACCATGGCGTCGATCCCGGGGTCGTCCGTCAAATAAACGTGCGTTTTTCTTTCTGGGATACTGTCGAATTGGGGTTTGAAAGTCTGTACGTCGGATTACGGTAATTCAGTATTTTTTAGATTCATTTTCTGGGTTTACCGTACCCCAAAATACAACCATATGCTGGTAATAGAATTTTTGAAGGTTGTTTTGTTGATTTCGAATTTACGAATTTATTAAAAACACAAAAATATCGATTTTTGGATGAAAATATCGTTAAGACACTTCTATATATTACTAGGCATTCTGGATTTGTAGAAAAATTCACTTCATCCCCCCGATATTGGAAAAGCGCCTGTTTCCTGTCTTCCCTGTCCCTTTAATTTAATGCTAACCCCTCTGGGGGGCTACGTGCCGATTTCCCAATTCGCGCCATTTGGCCGGGGTCCAAGAGGGTTGGTGTGGTGGTCAGCCCACACCAGTTTTTGCCTGTTTTTCCCGGTCGGCCCCTGGCTAGGCCTCGATGGATGGGGTGAAAAAGCGGAAGAGAGGGCACACCAATTCGAATGGGCCATTTCTCTCTCTCTCTCTCTCTCTCTCGCCAGGGTCAGCCATCCCCTTGGCGGCTTTTTGTATGTTATGTCGGAGATGTGTCTGTCTGTCTGCCTGTCTGTCTCTCTCTCTCTCTCCTCTCTCTCACTCTCTCCCACCCTAAATGACTTCTTCCCCTTCGCGCAGCCCTCCCCCGTCCGATCGGCCGGCTGGTGGTGTGGGGGGGTCCCGTGACGATGAATCATGAACGGACCCTTCTACCCTACCCTACCCCAACCAAATGCACAACCAAAACAATACGAAAGAGGTCCCACCATAGCCCTGGGGCTATTTGTTGACTGCCACCATTTCTGCCATTTAGCTATTGCGAAATGGTGTCCTTTGGTGGGGGATGGATGAAATTTGGGGAGGGCAGAGATGCCAATGAAATATGCAAATGAGCATAGGTTGCGAAACGGGGCGTTTGGAAATTCTTTGGCTGGGATACTACGGTATCTCACTAGGTGCACGGGAAAATTAGCTGCTGGATTAGTATTTTCCATTATCGGGGGGGATTCTACCGATAAGTAATCTTTTTCGTTTCTTTTTAGTATCAGGGTTTCGTAAGGAGCTTTGGAAATCCTTTGGCCGGGGTACTACGGTAACTGAGGTTATACACGATATCCCCGGGAGCTTTTCCATGACCGGAAGGGGATAGGGGCCTTCCTGATAATTTTACGAATGTTTTAGTAAATCAATTTTCAACGAGCTTTAGCGATAATGACGGGTATACGGTATCTTATTTGATACAGGAGAAACTTCCGCTGGAGCTTCTCCGTTATCGGGGGGGGTTCCGATCTCTATCGATTTTTTTACCTCGTTTCTGATCTAGTATTTTAGCAGCTTTTTGTGGCGAAATTTAGCCATATTTGAAGGAAAAATCTATGTAGAAGGCTTTACAAATGGCCAAAAATTGGAGATTTTTGTCGAAAAGGCGTATTTTTTTGTATTTTCTAATAACATTTTGTAAAATTTTTACATTTGGGAATAGTAAAATGCAGTTTAGTAACTTTTTCTCTATTTAGATTAGAAAAATGGAATCATTAAAAAGCCCCCCCCCGATAATGCCAAAGAACCGATTTCTCTGATCCTTTTAAAGCCCCGTTTAGTTATAACTTTTCGCCCGCCTCGAAATGGTGGCTCTTTGAAGCGGGGGAAAGGGGTACGGCTGGACGGATGGAGCAGAGAACATCCAAACGGGACGGGGAAGGGGTTGTTTACGTGGTTAGCCATGGAAGGGGAAAGGGGGAGGAGAGTGCATTCGGAACGAAAAGCTACGGTTGACACATAGAATACCGGGCAAACCGGATCTACCCACCCTGGAATATGGAACGCCACAACAACATCCCACCGGTTCCGAACTGGGTCCCGAGAATTGTGAAATGAACAGCACTACAGTAAACTGGAGACCACAGGGTTACGGGAACGCGCTAAAATCCTGAATAATCTCTGCTAATACGCCCATGATTTGGCTGCAAAATTTAAGTTTAACCTGGGAAATTTTTAAGAAATTATTTTGTCGCCAAAAATTAGATCTTCTGAAAAGTGGGATTTCCAAAATGGTCTCTGCGAGCCTGCCCTACCATGACCTCCGAATTCCACAAGAATCTCCGCTAGTTGGCCCAAAAATCGAGGTTTTTCAACTGTTTCCGGCGTTGGTAACTAAAAAATATCGCTGAAAATTCGAGCTTCTTCGCTGATGTAGGGAATTTTTAGGGACTTTCCTGAATCGCCTCTGCTAGCCTGCTCTATTTATATATTCTCCTCAATTCTCCACAAGAATCTCTGCCAGTTTCCCAGTCATCCTTTGATTATTATTGGTTGGCCTTCGTGTCGGCTGAACCTTCTCTATGGGGGATACCCCAACAATGGTGCCCCCCTCAGCCCTCTAGACGCTATGACGTGGGTTTGACCCGTTCCTCCCTTGCCTGACCAATAATCCGCCCGTCTCTCTTTCTCTGTCTCTCTCGCTCTCTCTCGCCTCCAATCTATCGCTCAAAAATGGTGCCTCCCTTGAATAGGGCTATTGGGAGAGAGGCTGGCTCAATTTGGGAGGGAGATAGAGGGCTATGAGAGATGTGGTCAAAAGATAGCTGACTTGGAAAGGGGTCTGGCAAGCTGGCAGAGATCCTTGGGGAATCGTAAATGCGACTCTAGAAAAATTTTTAGTTTCAAAAAGACTTTCCGACCCTTTTAATCGACCTTTAAAAGTCCCCCGAAAATTGGAGAATAACTCTTTATATATCTACGGTATCAATTATCTGTTTCCACCATGAGAATCAGCGCATCCACTTCCATAAATCCAGCAATTTCCAGAAAATTCCGGCTTATAATGGGTGTTTTGAGGGTGGGGGCACCATGGTTAGGATTGGTTGCTCTATGCACTCTCCCTCCCCTCTCTCCCTCTCTTTCTCTCGCCCCTCTCTATGACATCACTCTCTCGCCCCCCACGGGGCACACATGTGTACAGAGGGGGAGGAGACCCCTCGAGGGGGATTGTCAGAGAGGGGTGCCGAATATTCGGGAAAGAACCGCCCGCCCGAGGGGATCTCTCTCTCTCTCTCTCTCTCTCTCTCTCTCTCTCTCTTTTGCCTGTCTCCGCCCCCTTTCCCCTCCTATATAAAGGGTGGCTGGGTGTGGGGGGTTGGACTTGTTGGTCCCGGATCTCGCATCTGGCACCAAGCCTTACCTACCTACCGTAGTCCCGTAGTCTTAACTTTGAATACTACGCAGCGATACCATTTAATAGTTACTCTGCAGTAATTTTGCCGCTGATTTCCGTGACTGTACTCTTTACAGTAATCGGTTTCCGTTGTACTCTTGAGTTTTTCCGGCTTTCTACTCTTGACCTTACTTACCGTAAACCTCTTTTTCTCCTGATTTTCAAGGCTACGCGGCGATACCCTTTAAAAGTTCCGATACAGTACTCTTGGCCGATTTTCGGCGGCCTTACTCTTGACAGTACTCTGTTTCTCCCGTCTTCTTCCGGTTTTCCGGCTTGCTACTCTACCCAATACCGTATACATCTTTTTCTTCTGATTTTTAGGGCTACGTTTATATGCTTTTACGAGTTCCGATACGGTACTTTTTACGCTGATTTTCCATAATAATACTTTTTACAGTGGCTATCCGGCCCTGGAAAACGCGTAGTTTCTCACTTTACCCGTAACTCTCTGCCTTGTTTTCGAATGATGCAGAACTCGTCTCTTTGTTCTGTTTTCCATCTCCTCTCAAAGCTACAGTACCCAAGCCATTTCAGAAAATGACCGTAGACATTCTTCTCCTTCCATCGATGAATCGGGATCATCACCATCATAATCATAATCTATTCTCCCGTTCTAATTCATTCCCCTCAACTCTAAACGATAGAGAAGAGCCGAGTCTCCGAAATTCCGACTCAAATTGGAGTCTCACCACAGAACTCTCTTTCCCTTTGGAAGAAGATGAGGGGGACAGACTACGAATACACCTCCGTACACCCTCGGAAACATCTGAAATGATGATGGATATTGATAGACCATCATGTCCATCTCCTACTCAAGGAGAGGAGGAACCCGCAGATGGATATTTACCTATTGATATCCAAGAAATGACAGAACAGGACTACGAGAGAGGCCAATTTGCACCATTCCACGATTGGCTATTTTCTGAGGAAGAGGAGGTGGAAGAACAAGTTGGAGACGTTCAGCCCCGCCACTGGGAAGATATCCCATTCTCAGAGCCCCCTATTGTCCATCCGGACGCCTTTCTACCTGGCTATTGCTCCCCTGCATTGCCTTCACCGGCTTTGGAAGCTTCCGCTTCACCGAAAATGGCTGAACCCACGCTTGGCCCCCTATATATCGAGATCCCTGCATGGATCCAACCCTCCGAACCCACACCCAAATTGACCATGATGAAGCCGAGGAAACGGCCGCAAAATAGGGATGAAAATGAGGAAGATGCACCCATTTCGAAAAGGCTGCGACCGAGGTGTTGCCGGAAATTGTTCCCCAAAAATCAGAGTACGTTTTTGGCTAGGCTCATTGGTCATTGAAAATTGGGGTACGGTGACCAGGTCATTTTTAGCGGGTTCAAAAAGTCGGTCTGTCGGCGAATTTTTAAGAAATTTAAAAAATTAAAATTTTATGAATTTTTTAGGCATCGACCTGAAAAAGGCGAAAGAGCAGCAGCAACAACAGCAGCAGAAGAACGCGGAGCAGCAGCAAATGATCAACCCGGCCGATATCAGCCTGTCCGGGGATGATTGGGGACAAAAGGTAGATTTTATACAATTTGGATGATTTTTCAAGCGTTAAAATATTTTTACACGTTAAAATTGCCCTATTTCAGCCGATCAAACAAGAAGAAGAGACGGCAAATGGCGATAGCCAACGCGGCGACCGAGATACCTCCAAAAGGTGGGATTCTTGAAGCTAGATAAATTATAATTGGCAAATTGGAGCGAATGAAAAATTGGAAATTAAATTATAAGGAAAAACATTTTAAAAACTCGGAATTTTAGTAAATAGATATCAAATAAAATTGGAAACATGTGATTACAAAATTATAGAAATAAAGTTTTCTTTTAATTTTTTTTCTACTAGTACAAAGATTGGAATCAGATATTTAGCCAAATGAAAAATATAAACAATAAAAATACAAACCTTAGATTTTAAAATTAGAAAAAAGTATTATTTAACTATATTTTAGGTGAGCTCTGATGATGAGAGCGACAGCGGCGGAATTCTGATGCACATCCCGCCCCACGAAGCACGATCGAGGGGGAGACCGAGAAAAGAAGAAGGAGAGAGGAGGAGAAAAGAGGCCGAGGAAAAGTACGTTGGCAATTTTTAAAATTTAATTTAATTTTAATTTTTTAGAATCCGTAAGCTGCGTGCCGAGGGGAGTGACGTGCGGAATATGATCGATCCCACTGAGCTGCACTGTATTTGTCGACAACCGTTTGACGATAGAAAGTATGGAAATCGGCCCAATTTCATGGTGTAATCGATTGTTTTTAGGTTCTATGTGGCCTGCAGCCAATGTAGCCAATGGTTCCACGGAAAGTGTATAGGGCTCAGCGAGAAGAGGGTACGTTTTACGTTAAAAATATGGAAAAGCTGGTGCTTTTGCATTATCAAGGGGCTGAATTTTTTCGTATAAGTCAAGAAATTCCTAGGAAGGTAATAGTCTATTTTTAAGGGGGTTTTAGCTATATTTTTAGTATAAAAACTATCTAGTGGCTCTAAAAATTTTTAAAATCGAGATTTTGGTAAAAAATCGGCCGTTTTTGGTCGAAAATCGCTATTTTTGTCTTTTTTCATTTCATAAAATGTTGCAACGCTTCGAGGTTTAGGAACTAAAAATCAGTTGAGAAACATTTCCAATATTCATATAAAAATTAGCTTTAGAAAAACATTTGTTCCCCCCCCCCCCCCCGATAATGCAAAAGAGTCAAAAATAGTTAAAATTTAAAAACATTAATTTATATAATCATTTTTTTAGGCAAAACGCCTGTGCCAATTCATCTGCCACGACTGTCGTGCTCCTGAGAATGAGGACAGCGAAATGGAGGGAGAGGCCTTCAAACAAGCCGCACATCTCGATGGGGCTGACGATGAAGAAGTCGATATTGAAGGGGAAATTGAACAAATGGTCAGTCGGAAAAAGAAGCATTAATTTTGTATTTTCTAGGAGCGAGAACGCGCCCGGATCCACGTGAAAGAAGAGAGCCATGATGGAGGGGAGGAGGAGGAGGAGGAAGAGGGGAAAGAAGAGGAGGAAGAGCCCCTCTACTGTATCTGCCATACACCCTATGATGATACCAAGTGAGATCTTTTTTATTATGTAAAAATGGATTAAATTTTAAGCCTGGTTTAACTGCTTAAAATTTAAATAAGATTTAAAAACAATAGTACAATTTTTTATAGGCTTTTACTGTGTTTTTTTTAAAGATTCTACGTTGGCTGCGACAATTGCCCGAATTGGTTCCACCCGTCTTGCGTTGGCATTACTGAAATGTAAGCTTTAATTTAGCTATTTTTATTCCCTTAATTGTTTTAGTGAAGCGCAGACGGTGGAGAAATTCCTGTGCCCAGACTGTACGGATTCCGAGGGGTTGGAACAACAACACAACAACATCACCAACAAGGACCCATGGATGAGAAGCAGAGGTAGGAATTATAGTTTGTAGTCGGTTTTAAGAAAAAATTTGACGAGTTTTTATCAAAATTAGTTTCATTTTGATTTTTTTGAGAAAAATGCCACATTTTCAAGAATTTCTCTACGTTTTCACCAGCTTTTCACTGAAAATTCAGCGAAATTTTGTAAAAACGAATATTTTAATAATAGGAAATATCCCCTGATTATGCACAAGCTCCGGATTAATCGAAAAATACGAATTAGCCTAATTAATTTCAGAAAGCTGCATTTCCTGTGGGATCTGTATGATGCGGTGTCTCAACACCAGAGCGCATGGCCATTCCTCGATTCGATAGACACGGAAGAGTTCTCGGACTACGACACTGTCGTCAAGAATCCTATTGGTGGGCATATTTGTATATGTTTTTATCTTTTCTTGCCTTTAGACCTCTCGAAAATCGAGCAAAAGCTGTCGAACGGCGCCTACAGCAACCACATCGAGCTGCACGCCGACCTGCAGTTGATGATCACCAACGCCAAGCAGTACCATCAGAAGGTAACAGTTTTTAAAGTTTTTTAATAGTTTTTTGTGTTTTTAGACGTCCGACATCTACAAATGTGCGGAGACGCTGGATGCCGTCATCAAGAACAAGCTTGACGAGGTCTACAAGCGGAAATAAGCCTGTATTTTGTATAGTTTGTAGTCTAAAATTGTCCCCGTAAAGATTCCGTGTCAATCCTCCCGCCTCAGTCGAACAAGTGAGCCCTGTGATTCGATTTCCCCCGCTTTATACATTCTATTTCCTCCCCAAAAAATGGCTCTGATGCTGGAGGCTTCACCGGAAAAGCCATTTCTTTTTCTTTAGCTTTTTCTGTACGTTTTTCTATGCTTTTGGGCCCTAAAAAGTCCAAATGTCCACTTTATAGAATCGAAGATATGGGCCGCATTATAGAAATCCGGCCCATTCTCGGGTTGACCTCAATTTTCTCGTTTTTCTCATTGCTTTCCGATTATTTGTGTATTTTCTCTGTAAAATTGATATTTTCGATGCCATTTCTATGTTTCAATTTGTTTTTTTTATGATATTTCTATGTGCATTTCTCGTGATTCACTAGTGGCCGCAATGTTTAGTCTCTATTTTCCTTTATTTTATAGCATATTTTCACTTTTTATAACCAAACCTGCCTTTATTTTCATCCACTTTGTCATCAGCTTTCCTCCGCCCGTCCGATGCTCATTTACTGCGTGTACAAATCGTTTTGAAATTTGAAATTTTGCCCTTCTTTCTTGTGTGTAAAATTTGATAAAGTGCTTGCAAAAGGGTTTTTAAGGCTTGAAAATGCAAAAGTATCGAATACTGACAGAGATATCGATTTCCGAGAGGATGTACCTTTTAGAATGGATGAGTAAAGGCTTATTGCCCTTTTTCCAGATCGACTGGGTGCCCGAATGCAATGGAAAATCGGGAATACGCGAAGATTGTGGGTGGTGGCGACGAGAAATGAAGCCACCACGGCGGCGCCGGTCGTTGAAAAGGGGTTCGTTTGATGAGAAATACTTTTATTCGCTTTTTAAACTTTGAAAAGCTAGGATAATGCTTTTAAAATGTCGTTTTATATCCTAGAAAAAATTTCGTGCTGTTTTAGAGGCTTTTCAATCGTATTTTAAAAGTTGCAAGGCTAAAAATAGCGTCTAAAGTGCTTTTTTATTTGTTGAAAAGGGGTTCGTTCTCTTCTAGATACTTTTTAAATGACATTCTAAGCGTTAAAAGCTAAAATATTTCTTTTAAACGGTCTTTTTGGTTTCTAGAATGGCGGCCCTTCTTCTAGATACTTTTAAATAGCATTTTAAATGTTTTACAACAATAATGACGCTTTTCAAAACAGTTTTCCAGTTTTAACATCAACGCCGCGCACCACGACTACCTCGGAAAGGTGATAAGTGCCGTCAAAACGAGATGCCCGCCCGATGATGCCCCGAAATTCCGGTAAAACTCGAGATTGTTGTAAAAATGGCTTTTTAGAATGGTCCTCCCGCCGCCAAATGTGACAGGGCATCTCCATTTGGGCCACGCCCTCACAATCACTGTCGAGGATGTCGTGGCCAGGCAGAAGCGGTTGCAGGGATATAAAGTAACGCATTTTCTAAACGGTTTTGCTATTTTTAAGCTTAAAATTTACAATTTTTATTAGAAATACCCAAAACTATCGATTTTCCACTTAAAAATTCCGATTTTTACAAAACTTTCGAGATTTTGGCATATTTTTGATGATTTTGGGCTTGAAATAGAAAGAACGTGAGTTTCTAACCTATTTTTGCTTTTTTTAAGCTTGAAATTTACAAATTTTCATTAAAATACCCGTAACTATCGATTTTCCACCTAAAATTGCCGATTTTTCCACTAAAATTTCGAGATTTTGGAATTTTTGATAAGTTTTCAGATAGTTTTCTACGTGAAATAGATTTACATTGACTTTAAAACACTTTTAAAAGTTTACTTTTTAACGCGAATTTTAGGTAGAATGGATCCCCGGCTTTGACCACGCCGGGATCGCCACCCAATCCGTCGTTGAGAGGGAATTGTGGAAGAAAGAAGGGCTGCGCAGGGTCGATCTCCCCGGCAGATCCTTCCTCGACAAATGCCACACATTCTCCTCTAAGTAATTTCTAGTTTTAAATCCTTATCTTCCTTTTTTTAAGAAACTCGAAAGTGATCCGGAACCAGCTGAAGTTGATGGGCGCCACGCTCGACTGGTCCAAAGAGTATTACACCATGGATTCGGTAAGAAAATCTTAAAAAATGTAAAAATAACTTTTTAGGTATTTTCGACAGCGGTGCACGAGGCGTTCTCCCGGCTGCACAACGACGGGCTGATCAACGAGGGCGAGCGGTTCATCCACTGGTGCCCCAAACTACAAACGACACTCTCGGATCAGGTACTGTAATTGATAAAAATCGGCGATTAAAAATATTTTTATACTGTAAAATGTATTTTGGCTTTTTAAAATACTTTACATTTCAAAACACATTTTTGGGTTTTTAAGTATGGTTTTATATCGTAAAGTCTTGTCTTGTTTTCACTATTTAAAATAGATTTTTTGGCATAAAACTATTTTTTTGTAGTTAAAATGTATTTCTATATTTTGAAATATTTTAGGGTATTTTTTGTACTTTAAAATATATTTTACCCTTGAACGGACCTTTTTATGAATTTAAAATATGGTTTTATATATTTTTTTAGGAAGTCGATCGAGTACCCGCGGGGCAGCTCTCGATTCCGGACCGATTCGGAGGGAAAAGAAGGGTAGATGCCGGTCAGATGGTCACCGTCGCCTACGGTGGACACGGTGGAAAATGGTAAGGATTTGTCAGGGCAGCATAGCAAGGATTTTGGGGAATTCGGGTTTATCAGAAACTTTTTCAATTTTTCAGGAACATCGTGGTGGGCACGACGCGACCGGAAACGTGCTTCGCCGACGTGGGGCTGGCCGTGCACCCCGAAGACTCCAGATATAGCCATGTAGATAATTTATTAAATTTAATCTTGTTATTTCTAAAATTTAACCAGCTATTTTTCAAATTTAAATTTAAAAGGTTAAATTTAAATCTTGGATTTTTAATTTAATTTTTTTAAATTTTTTGATACGTTAGAAAATTTAAATGTAGCATTTTGCAAATTTAAAGTTTAAAATTTAGTTTATATTTTTAAATTTTTGAATTAAATTTTTAATTCTTGAAATTAAATCTTAAAATTTTAAAATTGGAATTTTACTTTTAAATGGAATTTCTATTAATTTTAGTTAATCGGTGAAATGGTGCAGCATCCGCTTCTCGACAAACGGATCCCCGTCGTCGCCGATACAGCTGTGATACGCGAGAAGGGGACAGGTAAGGGGGACGGGGGCAAGCGAGCAAAGATTCTTTAGGAATTTTGGCTGAATCTCGATAAAATTAATTTATCTCTTTCAGGCATCGTCAAACTGACGCCCAGTCACGACCAACTGGATTGGGAGATATGCCAGCGGAATTCAAGCACCTTCCAGCACTACTCCACCGGGTATATTCCGACTGAAATCCTATAAAATCAATTCCTTTAGAAAATGCATCGACGAGAGGGGGATGATGTGCACGGGAATCGCCGAATTTGATGCGCTCGATCGGTTTGAGGCTCGGAAAAAGGTGCGCATTTTAAAATTCAGATCTACAAAAGCGAAAAACGTTTTTAATTTATTTTAAAAATTCCATGTTTTGGCGTTTAAAAAGTAATTTTTTACGCTTTTTTCTTTTAAATACGTGATATAATGGTCTTTAAAACTCTATTTTAGCTTTTAAGTGTCGTAATTTTAATTTCGTTAAGTTATTTACCTTCATTTTAGTTAATTTAAAATGTTGAAAATCAGAATTTCTGGCATTTTAAAACTTCTTTTAAGAAACTCTAAGAAACTTAAAACTTCATTTTTGACTTTACATGCGTTTTTAACTTTTAAATCTCTTATGCTTTTTGGTTCTAAATACCATTTTTGATTTTTTTATTTTGTAAAATACATTTTGTGCAGGTGATCGACATCCTGAGCTCGGTGCGACGCGGCGGAAAGGTCATGGATTTCCCGGGAGCCCAGGTTCGGTGTTTTTCTCAATCTCAAACTGTGTTTTTTTTCAGGTGTTGGTGTGCTCCCGTTCGGGGGACATTATCGAGCCGCGGTTGATGCGCCAATGGTATCTCGACACAATTCCCCTACATCATCACGCATTGAAAGCCATCCACGAGGGAAAGGTAAATAATTTTCGGCTTACTGTAGAAATCACGGAATTTATTATTTTCAATTTTATGGTGTCGAAATTTGACGGTGCTTTTGCATTATCGGGGGGGATTTTTTACACAAGTTTCGAAATGTCTAGAAAATTAATAGGAGTTATTTTACTGGTGTTTTGAGTAAAATAAAATCATTTCAACCAGAAAAACTATCTAAAAACTTTGAAAAAGATTTTCAGGCGCAATTTTTCCCAAAATGGGCCTTTTGGTCGTAAAATCGGTATTTTTTGGCATTTTTTGAACCAAAATTTCCAAAGTTGTTGCGTTTAAGAATAGGGAAAAAATTTTGGGAGCACTTCCGCTATTTTTATTCAAAAAATTCGATCCATAGAAAAAGTTGTCCCCCCCCCGATAATGCAAAAGAGCCGAATTTTGACGTTTGAATAGAAATTTTAGTATATTGTACCCTAGATATTTTCATCCCCATTTTTTTCAGATCAAAATCCAGCCAACCGGGCAGAAGCAGCGGCTGGTGGATTGGCTGTCGAATGTTGAGCCGTGGTGTCTGAGTCGACAACTGGAATGGGGACACCGAATACCCGCTTACAAGATGAGAAACATGGGAACAACGGCAGAGAATAGGTAAATATGGGATTTAAAATCGTGTTTTAATTTGAATTAATTTTTTAAATGAATTTCATTGAAAATTTGACGCTTTTCAAACCGTTTTTTTATAGCGACTGGCACATTGCCCACTCTGCCGAGCTGGCCGCCCGCTATTTTGGCTGCAAAGAATCGGATCTGGTGGCCGAGACCGATGTCCTTGATACATGGTTCAGGTATTTTATTTTATTTTAATTTATCGATTGGTTTTTTACTAACTATGATTTTGCCGATTTCAGTTCTGCCCTGGTGCCCCTGGTGACAGCTGGATGGTGCCGTGATTCGACCCAAATGGACCCCACTCGTTTCACGCAGCCAACGATCGATCTGATGGAGACTGGCCATGATATTATCGGTTTCTGGGTGGCCAGGATGATTGCATTGACCATACAGTACGTTTTACATGCTTTTTAAGATTTGAAAATTTTTAAATAAAAAATTGACATTTTTCGAGGTTTAGAAAAGGTTTATTTCGAGGATTTAGGGTAAAAAAATGTGGATTTTTCTATTTTTTACCGTATTTTTTTAGTCTGACGATGGGCACGGTCCCTTTCCACCGTGTGTTCCTCCACGGATTGGTCAGAGACGCTGAGGGCAGGAAGATGAGCAAGGTAATACTGTAGTTACCGTAGTCTAAAAATACGTTTTTTTTAGTCGCTGGGCAACGTGATCGATCCGCTGGACGTAATTGGTGGAATTTCACTGGAAAAGATGCTCCAGCGACTCGAGGACAGCAATTTGGACGCCGCGGAAATTGGTGAGCACGACCATTTTTGCCGTATTTACAATTTATTAAAGTAAAAACCTTTTTTAAAATATTTTAATAATTTTTCATCTTTATCTATATATTTATATTATTATTTATTTTTATTTTTAGCCGTCGCCCAGCAGAATATGAAGGCGGCCTTTCCGAATGGCCTGCCGAGGGCCGGGACTGATGCGCTGCGATTCGCGCTGCTACGGTAGATTTCTTGCCTTTTAATTTTTTAATTTTAATTTAGACATGATCTGGGGGCTGCTGACGTGCCGATTGCCATCAGTCAATTGATCGATGAGGGGCTCAAGTGAGTGCACAATCGATTACGGCATGAAAATCGGGAAATTTCGAGGTTTTTGAAGCGTAATCGATTACGTGATTGATTTCTCCGGTTCGTTAGGACTGATTATGCTATGAAAACCATTAGATTACGCTAGATATTAGGCTATGAAATTCGATAGAAATTCGGGAAATATAAAATATGAAATTCTTATTCGATTACGATATATATTTTTATCTGATTACGCTGTAAAATCCCTCGTTTCCAGATTCTCGAACAAACTGTGGAATATGGCCACCTATGCGGACATCATTTCCAAAGCAGCCCCTCCAGAAGATGATAGCGCGGTCGATTTGGATGATTGCCAAAACGAAACGGTACTATTTACACAGCTTAAAATACCTTTTATTTGAGGACAAATGGCTCCTCTCTCGCTACCACCGTACCCTGGATACGGTAGCAGAGTCGATCGATAGAATGGAACTCAACCAGGCATTCCAGCGACTACACGAATTTCTACTCGCCGATCTCTGTGACGTGTATTTGGTACGGGTTTTTAAAGGAGTTTTCGATTTTAAGGATAATTTCATGTTTTTAAAAAATGTTTGATTTTATTTTATATTGGGTTAAATTTTGAGAAGCTGTTTTAATTATTTTATATTTTTAATGGATTTTGCGGGTATTTAGTTTGTTAAAGGGCCGTCGAAGTTGCTAAAGCCTATGGATTTTCTTTAAGATCTTGGGTTTTATTCGATTTTTTAATTTTCAGGGCGATTTTACGCTTATTAAAAATTATTTATTTTGATTTTTTATAGGTGAATTACTTTTTAAAAGACAGTTTTAACGATTTTAAACTTTTTGAAAAGCATTTTATGCTTATTTAGCTTGTTAAAAGGGCCGTTGAAGTCACACAAACCTATGGCTTTTTCAGGAGACGACAAAATCGGCGTTGAGAAGCGGGGATAAGAAGAGACTGGCAGAGATTCGGGCCACATTCAGCCATGTGATCCCCGGTGTACTGGCCCAGCTGTCCGTCTTCATGCCATTCGCTTCTGAAGTGATCTACGAACAAGCCGCTACCGTTACCCATCGCCAGTCCATTCATGCCATTATTCTAAAGGTATTTTTTGATTTTTATATGGTTTTTCGTAATTTTTAACCAAAATAAAGTGGAAAACTGCCAAAAATTTTTGGAAAAGCTTTGAAAAACCCGAAAGTTACGTCATTTTGGATCCGAAAAAAATTGATTTTTCGACTTAAAATTCATTTCTTATTTTTCTCTGATTTATGAGTATAATCGATTTTAAAACGACCTTTTTCAGTCTGACCCGACCCGCCTGGACCCGGTGGCCGAATCGAAGATGGCGACCACAATGGGCATCGTGAAATCCCTGCGATCCCTTCGTGACGTATTCCAATTTGCTCGCGACAAGAAGACGCCTGGTCAGTTAGATTAATTGATTTAAACTTTAAAGTACGTTGAATTTATTTAAAATTTCAATTAATGTTTTTAAAATGTAAATTTAAAAAATTAATTTTAACATTAAATTGAATTAATTTATGTTAATTTAAGTAGTTAATTTTTATGATGTAATTTTAATCAATTTTGCACTATTTATAATAATAAAAATTACAATTTAACTATAACTTTTTTCAGGAACGCTCTTCTACGACTCAGCCCAAAATACGCCGAAAATCGTGCCAGAAGTGGTCGAATCGCTCTGCGGATTTAAGCCCGTTTTTGTGGGTTTTTCTATCGCAATTTTTACCTACTTTATTCTAGGCGGAAATGGACGCCTCGAAGAATGACATTGTCCCCTTTACCGTACCCCATCTTTCCGGGAATTTTGCCATCAAAATACAGGTCCCAAAAATTATTTTATGTTTTATTTGATTGTTTTAGGCAGAGAAACAGGCGAGCTACTTGGGATTGTTGAAGGAACGGCTGGCGAAGAGTGATGAGAGGGTAGAGAAGCAGAGGGCTCTACTCGACAGATTCAGACAGATTGCACGCACCAATCAAGCCAATGAAAAGGTACCTTAACAAAATATGAAAATAAAAAATTTTCGATTTTTCGTCACAATTTTCAAAAAAATTTGACATTTTTGCAGTTTTCCGTTTTAAATACAGTAAAATTTACTAAGAGCCTTATTAAATTAATTAACTTACCATTTTATTTTTTGCTGGTACTTTTGCAATTTTGGGTGGGAGCTTTTCCGGTTTTCCACAATTTGGCAAGTGCCTGTTGCCAATGGTTTTTTTCTTTTTGCACGCAAAAACGTTCAAATTTTTAGTTATGAATAAATACAAAAAATTTAGATTTTTTCGACAAAATTTCCAAAAAACTTGGAAATTTTTTGTTAGTTTTTCGTTTTAAATATGGTAAAATTTACTCTGAAGTATTAAAATTATTTCCATTATTAGATTACGAGGCGTGATAGTAATAGGCAAAAAATTGCGTCCCCCGATAATGCCAACGAACCCATATTTTTTTCAATTTAGGTACGCGCCGATCGAAAAGCGAAAGACGCGAAACTCGTCCAAAACGCCGAGGCCAAGCTGCAAATCCTGGAGGAGGAAGTGAAGAAAATGAGGGCACAGCTTTATTCATAATTCTTTATCGTTTTGGCGTTTGTTTTCGTTGAATTGTTATTAGGAATATTACGTACGATTAGAATATTAGAATATGAGAATTACTAGGAGAATTGTTTTGTTTTGATAGATATTTCCCTTCTTTTCACGTGTCTATGATATAAAAATGGAATTTCTCACTTATAATACGGGTCAGCATCTAGAATATATTTCTTTCCTTGTTTTAGCCATTCTCGTGCTAATTTTACGATGAATAAACACGTTTATACACCAAACAAAACGAGATCACGAATCAGACTTTTTAACTTTTAGAAGGCGAATTCCCGGAAGCGCCCCATCCAGTGCTCGATCTCTTCGGCCGACAATTCTGGTGGGAATTCATCGATCTCGGGCAAAACATCCCTCTCCTCGAAGGCTTTTGCGAATTTGTAGACGTGACGATACGAGGGATCAATCTAAATATAATGGTTTTAAAAAATCGAGCAAATCATACCGGATATAAGAGATCTTGATCATCAACAAATCTCCCATTCTTCATCATCCCCCAGATCGAACGACGCTCGCCTTTCGGACGCCAGATCTACAAAAGCCTAATTCTAGGTACTTTGCAAGTTTTCTGCGATTTCTAAACGTAAAAACTTTACGAATCTTCGGCTAACAATTGCAAAAATATCGAATAGGAAAACTTCCAAATTCTACTCTTTCCAAGGTTTATCCTCACCGCATCCGTCAGCAAGTCCATCTCGGTAGCGTCCTTGTTGTACTTGTTGAACTTGCTGCACTCCTCCTCCAGCTTCTCCTTCGCATCGCCGGCCAATTTCGGATTTTTCAGCGACAAACGAGACGAGATGGCCTGAAAACCATACTTTCACCCACGCAAAATAAAAAACTCACCATCAAATTGCGGATGGCGCGCAGGGAATTCACGTTTCGTTGATAGCTACCCAGGCATCGCCGACTAAATATCGTATTTTGGAGATAATTAGAATTTGCACAAACCGTCTGAAATTATATTCGCAGCGTAGAAGGTAGAAAGAGCGACCAACGGGATCGTAGTGGGCCAACAGCGCTTGTCCCTAAAATCGTTCATTCAGGAAACCGAAAAAACGTACATCAGTGGCCCTGAGAATGAGATACATTCCCTCGTAGGTTCGATCTACCCATCCGAAATGCGAGGGCACCAGAAAAGGAATCGTCTTGATGACTAAAAATGTATATTTTAAGACGCTTTCCGCCTTACATGTCTCGAATTGAAAGCTAGCAGCCGGAAGATCGGTGTCGTCGCAGAACTGGATTTTCTCGATCTCATCCGTGCCGTCCAACCACCTCTAAAACATTTTGATAGCAGGAAATAAATGGGGAATTTTTTACCCGAATTTTTCGCGCCAGAAAGTCGAATACGGGCTGGTGATCGGTTTCGGCGCGTCCAAACTTCAAATCTTTCGCCCGAAGAGTGTTTAGCCATTCGACTTTTCCGAGATGTCGACCAATATGCAGCTTCTCCATCGAACAGAACTACAAATTGACATGAGTAGATTGTGATTATCACTAACCAAAGGGTCGGATAGACATTTGATACTCTCTGCCGGGACCAGCGGGTCGAACAGCCGACCACAACTCATTCCCGTCATTTGGAAGCTCGCTGGAAAAAATCGTATTGAAAAAGTGAAGAATTCGTACCAAAAATCGGCTTCACCTCCTCGAGTGTGGTGAGGTACAGGCAATAGACATGCTTCGCTTTCATATTCAAAGATTTCCAGAATTGGCTGCCGTAGGTAAAATCGGGACCGTAGAACTGAAAATTAAAAAAATGATAATGGTCCTAAAAAAAAATAAATTTTTGGATTTTCAAAGAAATACGTACCTCTCGAACGGTAGAATTTGTGAGCAGGAGTCTGAGGTGAGCTGAGAAGATAATCGCCATTTCCATGCTCTCACATCCCTTGATAAGCACCGCAGAAGGATTCAGGGCGTGGAGAAGACGCGCCCCTTCTCTAAAAACAATTCAATAACTACTTTCCGGTTCTTTTGCATTGACGGGGGGACGGAAATCTTCTTTGGATCCAATTTGCCAAACTTTACAAATTTTGATTTAAAAAAATACAAAAAATATGGCTTTTCAACCAAAAATGGCCGTTTTTGACGAAAATTTCGAATTTTTGAAAGAGTTTTTGGTTATTTTTCCAGCGCAAAGATAGTTTTTTCTGAACTAATAACTCTACTAAAATTGTTCCTATTAAGTTACCAGCCAATTCTAAACGCAGACGAAACATTCAGTCGCCCGATAATGCGAAAGAACCGAATTTGGAAACGTACGGAGTACAGGAAGACGGATCCACTTTCAGCGTTGCCCATTGGAGGCGATGAGGGCCAGTTGTGAAGCCGTAACCGCCGAACAGATCCGAGCTGACGGTTGTGTAGTGTTTTGGCGTCTTTTCGATAATTTTCCACATACGAGAGGAAACACCGGCCAGCTCACTGTAATCAGTCGTGTTGAGAAGCCCGAGAATTGTCTCCATCACTCTTGGCGGAAGTTTGTTCAGCATTGTTTACCTGAAAATCAGAAGTTATAAGTGGGATTTCTGTAAGAGAAAGCAAAGGAAAAGCGGAAACGCCAAAAAGCACAATCCCAGTTTGTCAAAATTTAATTCACTAGCAGAATTCGAGAAAAATTCTTTCGAGGTGCGTGTCGTTTGCGTATTCGCTGGAAAACCGAATGATTCAAGAATAACAAAGATTTATTAACGACATAGCAAAATTAAACCGCATAATAACAACAGCGAAATGCAAGCAAAAATTAAAAAGCGAATTCCGGGAAGCGCTGCTTCCAATCCTCAATTTCCTTGGCATCGGCGGGCTTGAACTCGTCGATCTCTGGCAGAACACCAGTTGTTTCAAAAGCCTTTGTGAATTTGTAGGCGTGGCGAATCGACGGGTCGACCTACAAAATAACCGACTCTTACAAATCGAGCAGTGGTTTTCGAGACCGACCATGACGCAAAAACGGGCAAATGAATACCGGATATTTATCCGTCGGGAGGAAATTTCCATTGAACAATCCCCAAATGGACCGACGCTGTCGCTTCGGACGCCAGATCTAAAAACAAATAACTGAATGCGATTCCCCTCACAGAATCGACGAGTAGATCCATCTCCGTAGCGCCCTTATTGTACTTGTTGAACTTGACGCACTCCTCCCTAAGCTTCTCCTTCGCATCGGCGGCCAATTTCGGATTTTGCTCGGCCAGACGCGTCGAGATACTCTGAAGAGGATTTATCCTGTTCGTAAAAACAAAAACTCGCCATTAGATTGCGGATAGTGTGGAGGGCTTTTCGATTTCGTTCATAACTACCCAGACATCGGCCACTAAATACAACATTTTCCAGGCAAATGTAGACCTTCACAAACCGTCTGAAATTGTATTCACATCCAATCAGATAGCAAGAGCGACCAGCATTATCGTAGTACGCCAATAGCGCTTTTCCCTAGAATTTCCCAAATTTTAATGGAAAACGTGCATCAGTGGCCCTGAGAATGAGATACATTCCCTCGTATGTACGATCAACCCATCCAAGATGGGAGGGCACGAGCAAAGGAATCGCCCTGAAGTCTAAAAAAAGATTAAAGTAGATAATTTTTTCAAAATTAAACCGCTGATTCAATATGAACAAAGTATACAATATATAAAACAAGGCTTCTCCCTTACATGTCTCGAATTCAATGGCAGCAGCAGGTCCACGTCGGTCGTCGTAGAACTGGATTTTCTCGATTTCAGCCATACCGTCCAACCATTTCTGAGAGGTTACAATAATAATAGAATCGGAAAGAACCCCACCAGAATCCTTCGCGTGAGAAAGTCGAATACGGGCTGGGGGTCGGCTTCGTTGCGTCCAATCTTCAAATCTTTCGCGTGACAATTCTAGCCATTTCATTTGGCCCTGTAGTTGACCAATATGCAGCTTTTCCATCGAGCAGATCTAAAGTTGACATTCAGAGAATAGAATAAACCGAGATGCTTTCGTTCTCGACGACCAGTATTTTGCACGATTTTGTTAGGATTAGCACTAACCACCGGATCCGCCAGGAATTTGATGGTGTCCTTCGGGTTGATGTCCCGCATGAACAGGACACTGACCATCAACGCGGACGGTTGGAAGCTGGCTGAAACAGAAGATTAGTGAGATTTATATTCAATTTCGATATTAATAAAATATAAATTCTTTAATTAATAAGATAGTCAGCATAGCAAAAAATAGCATAATAATTATTACCGAAAATCGGCTGCACCTCTTCGAATGTTGTGAGGGAAACGCAGAAGAAATGCTTTACTTTCATGTTCAACGAGACCCAAAATTGGCTGCCGAATGAAAACTCTGGATCAATGAGCTGAAAGTTATAAAAACTTTTTTTTGTTTTTGCTTTGGGGGGGACGATTTTACTTTCTTCAAAATCGAGGTCGGGCTTTTTTAAAAACCTAAACGTAAAACGTTACAAATTGCGTAAAGGGTTTCAATTACTTGTGTTTAGAATGATTTGTTCACGAAATACAAACTTCTTGAACGGTGGAATTTGTGAGAAGGAGTCGAAGGAATGATGAGAAGATATTGGGTAGAAACATGCTTCCGCCGTCCTTGGTGATAACAGAGCAAGGATGATAATTGAATGGTAGATCCGGCCTGCCCTTCATCGCATGCATACTAAAAATAAAATTGGTGGGTGGTCACAAAACATACTTATTCAAGTACGGGACGAGTTTCACGATAGCCTTATGGTTCTCATCAGGGCCTGTTTTGAAGCCAAATTTTCCGAAGATGTTATCGGAACAAGCGACGCTTATGTAGTGTTTTGGTGTCTCTTCAACAATTTTCCACATTCGAGGGGAAACGAGCGCCATCTCCTTGATAATCCTTAGAATTGAGAATTCCGAGAATTGTCTCCATCACTTTTGGCGGAAGTTTGTTTAGCATTGTCTACCTGGAAATGAGAGGTTAATTATGCTATCCTGGAAAAACAGCGAAGCAAAAGAAAAAATCGCAAAAAATTATGAACGCTTCAAGGTATTTTTTTCGAGATCTGGTCCCGTGAAAATCGAACAAACTCAAAAATCACAAGCACCTGAAATAGCGCCGCTTTAGCCACCTGTCAAAACGTGTTTTTTTCTGAAAAACAGGCTCGTGCATCTTGGATTTCTAACAGTTTATCAAAGAAAAGACAACCGGCGGTATAACAATGTGAGAAACGAGGAAAAGCAGAAAAAACAAACAAAAAATAACACATAAAACACGCTTTTTTTTGGCGAATTCTAGGTATCAATTCTAAACAAACAATTCGCTATAGGCCATTGCCCAAATTCGGTTATAAAGGTCGGGTACGGGCTTGAATTCGTCGGCTTCCGGCAGCACACCCCTGGTCTCGAAGGCCTTCGTGAATTCGTAGGCATGGTTCAGCGAGCTGTCCAACTGGAAGAAATATCCCTAATTGACTTCTCGACGATAACTTACCGGATAAATCGGACTCCGAAAAATTTGATGCAGTCCTTTCACGAATAGGGCCCACGGAAAGCGACGCTGGCTTCGTGGACGCCAAATCTGCAAAACACGGCGGTTCTTTCGCATTATCGGGGGGCTTTTTCTTAGATTCCGATTTTTCTAAAATCAACAGCCAAAGTTTTTTACTATTCCAAACGTCAAAACTTTCCAAATTTCGATTACAAAATATTAAAAACCTATCAATTTTTGACCAAAATTTGTTCGTTTTCAGAATTTTTAGATAGTTTTCTGGTTGAAATATAGTAATATTCTACGAAAAACATCATAAAAATACTTCTTATTGAGTTATTAGACATTTCTAGACTTTTACCAAAAAAGCTAGGACCCCCGATAATGCGAAAGAACCAAAAACACAATTTTCTAACTTTTACTAAAATTCTTTTCTTACCGCATCCGTCATCAAGTCCATTTTTGTGGCGCCCTTGTTGTAGTGGTTGAACTTGATGCACTCATCCCTCAGCTTCTCCTTCGTCTCCACGGCCCGGCCCGGATTTCGCTTGAGGAGGAGTTGCGATTTGGCCTAGAAAAGACGGACGTTTTTATCGTAATTTATCGCATACCATTAAAGCACTAATCCTCGCCAGGGCCTTTCCATTTCTCTCGTAACTTCCGAGGCATCGACCACTAGAAAATAAAAGTAATTCCGGAAAACCGATAGTAGTTACCGTCGAAAATTGTACTCGCAACCTATCAAACACACCGAGCGATTTTTCTCATCCCAGTAGAAGATCAAGGCTTGTCCCTGAAAGATATTGATTGCATTTAAAAGACAATACTCACATCACTGGCCCTGAGAATGAGCTCGATTCCCTCGTATGTCTGATCCACCCATCCCATTTCTGGGGTCAATTCCTTCACAAACGCACCAATCAATCCTTCCATAACTAAAAATTATTCAGATAATCTACTATTTATTAAACATTTTTTACATAGTTTCGAGCCTTTCACGTCGACCCCAATGTCCAATTGCAATTTATCAACCACATAAACTCCCTTCAGCCAGCCCTAAACAAAAGCAAAATCAAAATTAAAGCTAACATACCAAAACTCTGTTAGCCACGAATTCCATCAATAAATTCCAATGAAAAGTGGCCGGTCTATCATAAGTATGGACGAGCAAATCTTTCGCATCGACAATATGAAGAATGTCGAGCACTTGCACGTTCAATTCAATATGGAGCATCTCCAACGAGCACACCTAATTTTAGGCATATAACTATAGCAAACCCGAAAAAACCGACCATATCACTTTCCAAAAACTCGACGGATTCCTCTGGTTCTTTCTTCGCATCAAGCGCAAAATTGTCGTGGATGAACTGGGTGGGCTTGAGGTGATCTGGAAAAGTATCTGAATAAAACCTAATCCCCTTACCGATAAACTCTTGAAACTTTGCAAATCCTTGCCATTCAATTGGGTTGGTGATTCGCGTCACTTTCATATTCAACGAGAACCACAATTCATTGTCAAATGACATTGGAACGTTGTAGAACTGAAATTACACAGGTAAATACGAGATTTTCACACAAATACTTACGACTTTAATTGAAGCATTTGTAAGGAAAAGTCGTAGATAGTTTGTTCGAGCAATACACTCCTTCTTGTCTCTACAACCAGCCATTGGAACTGTCGGGCCATCATCTTTCATTCCCCACCTAAAAAATAGATTTTAGCCTCTTTTTTACTCATTTTTAAGGGTTTCCTTATCCCGCAAAACTAAAAACGAACGCTGGAATCTGGTAGAGGCCGAGGAGCATGTTCAGAGGCGGCATCGGGCTATTTTCCTGATTGAGAGTGAGACCCCATTGTCTCGGATTCGTATTGACAGCCACAGTTCCGTACTTCTTCGGCGTTTCTACCACAATTCTCCACATTCGAGGCGAAACATCGGCCAATTCGAGGTAGTCCCTTGGATCGAGTAATGCCAGAATATCCGCCATCACCCCCGAGGGCAGCTTGTTTAGCATTGTTTGCCTGGAAATTGTGTATTATCAGCCTGCGATGGCCTGGCATTTTATGTCCCGATAATTCACGATATATTAGCGCTCATCTAAAAACTGGCAAATCAATCACTTTTCTTAACAATTTATCAGCGGTAATTGAAGGTGTAACAATGTGAGAAAGCAAGGAAAAGACATCAAATGAATGAAATAACATCGACTAACATCAACTCTGTGGAAGAAGTAGCAAAATTCAAAAACAAAACAATGGGTACATCATCTATCGGCAAATTTCGACAAGTGGTTCTTCCACAAAATTTCTTCCTCAACTGCAGGCTCAAATTCGTCGATTCCAGGCAGTTCTCCTCTCTCTTCAAAGGCCTTTGTGTATTTGTAGGCATGGCGAATCGCGATATCCACCTAAAAACGTCTCATCAATTTATTCTCTCCCTCCCACCGGATACTTTATCGGCACGCTCAAGCAGTAATAGTTCCTTCTCCAAATTGACCGCCGTTCTCCTTTTGGTCGCCAAATCTATAAAACCATAAAACAAACTAAGATGCGCTCCTACCGCATCCGTCAACAAGTCCATCTGCGTGGCGCCCCTGTTGTACTCGTTGAACTTGATGCATTCCTCCTTCAGCTTCTTCATCGCATTTTCAGCCAGTTCTGGGTTTTGTGCTGATAGACGGGAAGAGATACCCTAAAAAGAGGATCATTGCAACGTGCCGTTAGCTCTACCATTAGGCTGCTTATCCGAGCGAGGGCCTTCCCGTTTCGTTCCCAACTTCCGAGGCAACGCCCACTCAAAATCACTGTTTTTGATTTACAAACACGGCAAACCGTCTGAAATTATATTCACATCGTATCAGAGAGATCGAGGCGTCCTCGTCGAAATAGACGATCAGTGCCTGTCCCTAAAATAAGATTTCTTAAGTGGGTTATTTCGCATTATCGGGGGACTTTTCCTAGGATCTAATTTTTCAAATATAAGTAGTGGAAGTGTTTCTAAATAGCGTTGGCAATTCATAAACGTGAATACTTTACAAATTTTTATTAAAAAATATAAAAAATACCGATTTTTCGACGAAAATTTTGACTTTTTAACAAGACTATTAAAAGACTTGCTATTAGTTACTAGGAATTTCTAGACCTATACGAAAAGCTCGGTCCCCCCGATAATGCGAAAGAACCCTTTAGTGAATAAAAAAAATGCCCACATCGCTTGCTCTGAGTATGAGATACATTCCATCGTATGTTCGATCGATCCATCCGAGGTGTCGAGGATAGACAAATGGAAGGGCTTTCAAGACTGTAAAAACGTTTCATCAAACTGATTCATCTCCTACATATCTGAAATTCCATGGAGTCCTTTGAGAGAATGTTCGAGTCCACAGTGTTTATTTGGATTTTGTCGATTTCTTCCGTGTCGCTCACCCATTTCTAAATAAAATTAATAATTCTGGATCAAGCTGGTACCTGAATCTTTGACGACAGAAATTCGAAGATTGACTGCTGCGCCATTTTGGTGTCATGTCCAAGGCCCACCAGCCGGATCATCAAATCTTTTGCGCGAAATCTTTTCAGGAATCCAACGGCATCAATGTAGCTGAGGATGTGCAGCTTCTTCATCGAATAAATCTAAGATCGCTCTTGACAGTTCTTTTCAAATATTAACCCACCAACGGGTCTGACAATAAACTGCAGCCCTGCTGCAATGCAAACAAGAAGTTGCCTTCAATGCGAAACAAATGAGTGCATGTGAAGCCGGTTGGTCGGAAGTGATCTATAAACAACTTATAAATACCAACAACGATTCGTACCGAAAAATTGATGCGCTTCGGTGTATGTTCTGAGGTGAATGGCGGAAAGGTGATCCACTTTCATATTCAGGGAAAACCAGAATTCGCTGCCGAACGAGAATTCCGGGTCGTGAAGCTAAAAAGAACATTTTTTGCTTGGAAAACGAGTAATGTATCATATTAGTATGATCTATTGAGAAATGGTACCAGAAACGAACCTCTTGAACCGTGGAATTTGCGAGGAACATTCTGAGGTAGCACGTGTAGATAATTCGAATCTCTTCGGCTTGATCGCTTTTGATTAGCATGATGGGAGGATCAAGCTTGAACGGCAGCGACAGCTCCATATCCAGCACCCTGAACAATAATTTTTCTTGGGATTAAATTTTTCCCACACAAATAGCGGAAGTATTTCTAAATTGTCTTTTTTACTATTCCTAAACGTGAAAACTTTGCACATTTGTATTAAAAATACAAAAAACATATTGGATTCGTCGATTAAAAATTGCCCTTCTCGACCAAAATTTCAACTATTTCGAAGTTTTGCTAATGAAATATAGTTTTATTTTACTAAAAATATGGTTAAATACTTCATATTACGTTACCAAACATTTATCGACTTGTGCAAAAATTCCGCCCTCCCCCGACAACGCGAAAGAACCGAAAAACGAACTCTGCGGGGTTTCGAGGGATTTGATCCAACATAACCTCGCTCATTGTGTCGGGGTCTGTCGCGAAGCCGAAGAATTCAACGCCACCGTCAACACGACCGTACTTCTTCGGCGTTTCCTCGACAATTTTCCACATCCGCGGGGAAACACAGGCCAAATGCATGTAGTCTTCGGCGTCGAGCAATCCGAGAATTCTCTCCATCACTTCTGGGGGAAGTTTGTTCAGCATTGTTTACCTGAAAACTTTAGGTTAATTGGACATTGAGTCGAAAAATCGCTCGAAAAATGGATCAGACGGTGTCAACAGCTTATAGTGGCGTCTATAAAACTTCAACAGAGCCAATTTATTCACCAAACGTACAAAAAAGCTATATTACTTTCGCTACGGGTCTATTTTGGGTGCTCGACGGGCTGGAAGTGGGCGATCTCGGGTAGAACACCTCTTTCGCCGAAGGCTCTCACAAATCGGTAGGCGTGCAGAACGGCAAAGTCTACCTAAACACATTTTTTGAATTGTTTAAAACGAAATCCACATTTTTCTTGTTTAAAACTAAAAAAACGCTGCTAACTTACGCGATTGACGTTATCGTGGAGGATGAAGTCGTCAATTAATCCCCACGGCGAACGACGTTGGCCCTTCGGACGCCAGATCTAAAATTACTCAATTTAAAAGCTTCTTCAAAGAAAACCAACCCAATCCATCATCAAATCGACCGTCGTGGCGCCCTTGTTGTACTCGGTGAACTTGATGCACTCGTTTTTCAGCTTCTCTCGTGCATTTTCGGCCAATTCAGCATTTCGCTCTCGTAGCTGCGTGGAAAGACTCTAAAATTATCCATTAACGATTGGATTATCTGTGAAAAACGGACCATCAGCTGGCAAATCCGTCGCAGGGACTCCTCATTCCTTTGATGACTTCCGAGGCAACGACCCCTCAAATCAAACTTTTTTTGTAGAAAACTGCGACTTACCGTCTGAAATTATATTCACACCGTATCAGGTAGAAATATCCGTCGGCGTTATCCCAAAATACCAGCAACGCTTGACCCTAAAAAGATCATCATTTTATCGCAAAATCCTCAAATCACTGGCCCTTAGAATGAGTTCCATTCCCTCATATGTGCGGTCGATCCATCCGATTTCGGTCGTCAGAGTAACCGCCACCTTGTCAACCACTAAAACACATTCAAAAAAAAGCTTAGATTCGATTTACAGCTGTTGAACAGCTTCTGCGCTCCGGTCTCGTCCTCGCCAAAGCATATCTGGATCTTGTCAATTTCCGCCTTCCCGTGCAGCCAATCCTAAAAAACTGCAAATTTTATCGGATTTTCCTTACCGAAATCCTGCGCAACAAAATGCCGAAAATTCTCCTGAATTCAGCTTCGGGTTCGATGCTGGTGATGCCGATGAGCAAATCTTTGGCCCGAACGCCTCGTAGATATCGAACATCGCCCATCAGGCCAAACAGGTGCAGCTTTTGCAGCCCGCGGATCTAAAATAGTGGATTGCGAAGACGAGAGAAGCACTCACAAATCCGCTCTGCAAAAAGGCCAGGCATTCGGGCAGCCGCGTCACAAAATCCACGAAGAAATAGTGGTAGATCAGACCGGTGGGTTGGAAATGTTCTAAAAGAAAACTGCTAAAAAATAGACACGTTGTACCAAGAAACTGCCGCAGTTGAGAGATTGATGCGGCGCCCCTCGGCTCAGTGATTCGCGTCACTTTCATATTCAGCGCGAACCAAAATGCGTTGCCGAAAGAGAGGGGCGCGTCGGTGAGCTGAAAATGGTATTAGAAAACACAACGCATCCCCACCTCGCCGATGGTCGAATTCCTAAATAAAACTCTGAAGAAGAGGGTGCGGTAAACAGCTCTTTTCTTGTTCGTACAGCCGGCCATTAATTCAGGGGCATTGCCATATTTGGAAGATGGCGAACTAAAGAAAGCTAATGTAAAAATGGTTTTTCTTACTCCATTTGTGAGATCATGGCGTCAATTGGGAGGATAAATGGCTTGACGGGTTCGGGGCTAGGCAGGAACTTCAGGCACAAAGCGTCATCTTTCATAATACATCGAACAACTCCATATTTCTTCGGCGTCGCATCGACAATTTTCACCATTTTTCGAGACACGCCGGCCAGCGTCAAACAGTCCAACGGGGTCACGAAAGACAAAAGTGTTTCCATGGCGCGAGGCGGAAATTGGTCCAGCATTGTTAATCTAGAAATTGACAGGTTTGCGACGTTTGAAAACACAGGAAAATAATGGTGGCCTCGATCAGTCATTTTTTCTGCTTCACGCGGCTCTAACCAATTTGAGGTTAAATCCACCATATAAAAACCGTGGCTGTCGTGCAGCAGTTTTCCTTAATTACTGGAATTTACGGCAATTGCCTCGTAGTAATATGTAAAGCTTTTTATTGTGTTTTCATTGTTTTCGATTACCAAAATATTTTACAAACTTTTAAAAAGTCAGGCATTTAAGTTTTCGTCACTTTAGTTCATTTTTCAGAGATTTTTGAAGCGTCAAAACGTCTCAAACTCGTCTGTTTAGTTTTTTGAAATAACAGTATTTTATATAAAATAATATATATATAATTATATCTAAAACCGGTGCAAGTTTGCCTTTATCCCGGCTAACGTCAAAGCGCACTTTTTATTGCGCGTTTAGAGATGTATCCAAAGGTGGTAGTTTTCAGCGTATTTTCATGGATGGATTCTGTCGTCATTGTCCGCCCAGAAAGTGATGGGGATTCCTGAAAATCAGTTGATAAATCGACAGGTATATTTTTGGTTTTTGGGGGGGGGGGGGGGCATAAGTCACTCGGTTCGGGGGGGAAAAAAAATTTTTTTTCCCCTTTTTTCCTTGCCTCTTTTTTCGGTCTTTTTTTCACTTCTTTTTGGGTTTCCTCCTTTAAAGGTAGGGGGGGGGGCAAAATCCCGCGGGGGGGGGGGGGGGGAGCTCCCCCTCTCCGGCCCCCCCCCCCTCTCCGCTGCTGTTTTTTTGTTCCCCCTCCTCCCCGGGGGGTTTTAAAATTTCCCTCTCTTTATTTTTTAAGTCAAGACATCTATTTTAGTCCCGAAATCGGTTCCTCCATTTGTCGTTTTACCGTTTTCCTCAAATAACAACCATTTTCTGCAAATTTCTCTAGCCTTGTAGGGGGCCATTCCTTCATTAATCTGTAGTCTGGTGGATACGACTAATCATCTCAAAGAGAGAGAAAGAAAGAGAGAAAGAGACACAGACAGACAATTCGAGTGATACGCGCTATCTTCGCCCCCCGGACTCCAATCCATCCCTTCTTCCCCTCCAATATGAACACCTTTTTCGGCTCTTTCTCGCTTTGAGAGTTATGATTTCACCCCGAAAAGCCGTGGCCATTGATTTTGGGCCTAAATATATGTTTTTATTAGTTTCTATTTATTTTATAATTGATTTCCAGAAATGTCAGTTCTCTCAAAATTGGGCACGGCGACGTCGGGAATCCCGTTGAGCCAGACGGCGCCTTGTATTGCCGGATTGGCCGCGATTTTGTCGATATGGAAGCTGTATGGACCGGGAATTGCGAAGTAAGCATTAAAAATATTTTTAAAACCGCTAATTTGCTAAAATCTATTAATTTACAATCTTTTGGAGCAAAGGGTCGGTGGGTTTTTTTTTTTTTTTTTGTTTTTTTTTTTTTTTTTCCGGGGGGGGGTTGGCCTCTCTTCGTTTTTTCCACCTTTCCGTCCGGTTTTTAAAAGTTTTTTTTTCTTGCTTTGTTCTTCCCCCCCCTTTTCCCCGGGAAAAGGGGGAAAGGGCCGTTTTTTTCTTTTTTTTCCCGGCCCCCCCTGTTTGTTTTTTTTTTTTTTTTTTTATTAAGGGGGTTTTTTTTTTTAAAAAAAAAATTTTTTTTTTTTTTTATAAAAATTTTTTTTTTTTTTTTTTTTTTTTAGTCTCTTCTTTTCCTTTCTTTTTTTATTTTTTTTTAGAAAACCACCCCTCCTCCCCTCCTCTTTTTTTTTTTTTTCCTCGGGAGGTGTTTATTTATTTTTTATTTTTTTTATTTTTTTTTTAATAATTTTAATTTTTTTATTTAGTAGGCAAGTCCAAAATTCATCTAGAAAATTAAAAAACCACTTAAAAATCCGAAATTTTGGCTGAAAAAATCGATATTCCGGTATTTTTTTTCGAGAAATAAACCTGGAAACGTTACATAGAATAGAATACAATATTTAATTTGGCTGGTTCTCTAGAATTTATTTAATTTTTAGAAGCAAAAAGCGGGCTGTTGCGACGAAAAGCGGTAAATCCGGCGCCGGCGATCGAGCCCATGTGAATGGCGAATTTTTCAAGAGACTTCGCGGGATTTTGAGGATTTTGATTCCACGGCTGTTTTGTGGAGAGGTCAGTTATTCAGAATCCACCCTAGAAAGACAGTTTATAGACGTTTTACATGGTGCTGATTGCCATTTCGCTTCTCTGCCGTACTTACGCTGACGTATGGATGATTATGACGTCCACAAAGATTGAGGCGTACGTTTTTTAATCAACTGAGAGCTGAAAAATACATTAAAAATTGTTTTCCTCACTTTTTTTGGCCCAAAATCAACAAACCGTGTAAAAACGTTTTTTTCCTAGCTTAGAAAATCTATAAAACATGTAATTCGCCCTATTTTAGAGCAATCATCGAGCGAGACGTGGGTGAATTCGTGCGTAGCGTCATGTCGTACATCCTGGCCATGCCCGCGATCTCTGTCGTCAACGCCCTGCTGAAATTCTCGCTCTCCGAGCTGAAACTACGCTTTAGAAGCCGGCTGACAAAGGAATTGTATCAGAAATATCTCAAGTAAGTGAATACAGAATTTCCCTAAAAACTATACAAAATAGGGGCTTCACCTTCTACAAAATGTCGAATCTCGACAACCGAATCGCCAATGCCGATCAATTGTTGACACAAGATGTCGACAAATTCTGCGAGGGACTCGTCGAGTTGTACAGCAATTTGTCTAAGGTATCAATTGGTTTTCGTAATTTTCACGATATTTCGAGTCCAAAAATCTACCTAAAAAACCTAGAAACGATTCTTAAAATTTGAAATTTTGATCGAAACCGGTGATTTTTGGATGAAAAAAATGGTTGTTGGCCGTTTTTTTATAAAAATGCAATTTTTTAGCCATCTTTGTAGTATTTTTAATAAATGTAACTATATTTCAATCGCAAAGTCTATGTAAAAAACTGAAAAATACTTTAAAATTTGAAATTTTAGGAAAAAACCGGTTGTTTTGTCGAAAAATCGGTATTTTCGGTTAATTTTCAAAAAAAATAATTTGTTTTTTTTTTAAAAAAAAAAAAAAAAAAATTTTTTAAACACTCCTGCATTGACTTAGAAAAATTAGGCCTTAAGGACCCCCCGTTAATGCAAAAGTACCAAATAACCCTTATTCCAGCCGGTAGTCGACGTTGCGCTGTACGTCGGGAAGCTCGGAGGAGCCCTTGGTTGGCAAGCCCCAGCCATGTTGGGCTGTTATCTTCTCGCTTCCGGCGTTTTCCTCACAAATCTCCGAAAACCGGTCGGTCCAAAGATTCCCAAAAATACGTGAACCCGTTCAGATTGGCCGCCTTACCGTCGAAGAACAAGGGCTGGAGGGCGAATTCCGTTTCGTGAATTCTCGATTGATCATGAATAGCGAGGAAATAGCCTTCTACCAGGGGCAGAACAGGGAGAAGACGACCATTCTCTCTTCATTCGATGCCCTCGTTGCCCATTTGAGAAAAGGGATTCTATTCCGATTTAATATCGGATTTGTTGACAATATCGTGGCCAAATATTTTGCGACGGTTGTTGGATGGTCAGTTTTAAAAAATCTAAACCTTTTTAAAAGCTAAAAAG